TGTTAGTGTCTGTAATAAATGTATGTTCTTTTATTCTTCCCCTAACGAGTCTGCCTTTTGCTCGTGATCATAAAAGGGGGATTTTCCCCCATCCCAGTCCTATCTCGAACCCCAAGCCTGGCTCTCTGTCCCTTCTCATTGCCGGAGGGGAAGGGAGAGAGAGCTGCTGCGTTGTGGTTGGCTGCCAATCAGGCCCAAACCACGACACCTCCCTGTTGTTGGCTGGGGCTGTTCTGTGCCCGCAGCCCAGGGGCCCCTCGCGAGCCAGCGGTTACAGCTGCGCGTGTCCGGCAGCCCCTGGCCGCGGGCGGCTCCGTCTTATTCCCATCTGGACTTGGGCTGTTGCCTCCCGAGCCGTGGGGCTGCTCTCCCCTGCCGCTCCGATTGCTAAACTGTCCTCGGGGGCTCAACTCCCTGCTTCTTTTTTTCTTTCCCGCCCTGAGTTGGAGCATTCAGTGCAGTTGTGGTGTAGTGGGGGATACTGGAGCAGCCTTCGTGCGCCCGTGTTGGCGCTGGGGCTAGCCACCCGTGGGAGCTCCCTGCCTCAAAGGACTCTTAAAAGTGATTTTGGATTTGACATGCATCTGGTTTGTGTGCAGGCTTGGAAAGCCTGTTTTTGGCTCATGTCCTTAGTCTCTGCTGTTGAGGTTTTCTCATTGCCGTTAGAAATTGGGCCAGTGGTGTCTCAAATTGGTCAGCAGAAGGTTGATGTCTTTCTTTTTACCTAAAAGCAGAACGATACTCAGCTCTCCCATGCAAAATGCTTCAAGCACTGTGTGACGCTGGGTGTGTTTGCTACCCCAGCTGAGCTCCTGGGAGGTGAGCGTGGTCGCCGTGACCTTTTGCGTTCGCAAAGCTGCGACAAGCATTTGGCAAAATTCCTGCGGCTGTTCGGTCCCACCCGCTGCAGCTCCTCCTGGGCCGCCCCAAGCTCGAGTCGCCTCCACTGCAGACGTGTGGTGCTCAGCAAACCGTCGGCGGCTGGAAACGCTGACGCTCCCCTTCCCCCCGGAGCGCCTGGTTTCTGACCAGCGCCATTGGGACTGACGGTGTTGTGCAAGGCGTGCGAAGCTGAGGCTGCTTGGAGACGCTCACCGCTTTCCCGTGAACCGCCTCTTTTCTGTGCACTGATTCGTTTCCTGTTTCCAGCTGGAGCCTGAATAGCAAAATCCCCATAGCAGGCAAGATAGAGCTGGGATCTGTTTTCGGTTGAAGTGTGCGTACTCCGTTTGACCATCTGTAAGCTGTTTGCCTGCAGAATTTCGCCATGGTCACAAAAAGGTGAATTTCCCTAAAATCCCCACGTACCAAATAAGAGCCTCATCAGCTCAGGTGCAGCAAGGACTTGCTTTGGTCCTGCTCTGTCCCCGCCGTGCCGCGTGCCAGGGGCCGTTGGGGGAGAGCCAGAGCAGGCTCTCTGCTTCCATCCCCTCTCTCCTCTTCTCTCTCCCTCTCTAGACCTCAGTTTCCTCCCAGGAACAGGGGGTGACCCAGCTGGAAGAAGTCACGCTGTCTTCCAGCGTTGTCACTGGAGCAGAAAGTGCCCGTTGCTCGAGGATGTGGGTGCATGGCTGGAGTGCTTCAAATGGGGAAGGGACAGACGGACAGTTTCTGTGCCGTGGAGTTGTGTCAGCCCTTGGAGAGTTTCCTGGCTGGAAAATGCGTGTCCTGGTTTGCAGTCAGAGTTCAGTTCAGGTTCTTCATTTATTTGCATGGAAAACGAGGACATACCTTTTTGCAGCTGTGTTGTGAAGCCAGTGTTTGGGTGTTACTTTCTCTCACCTGTGATTGATCCCCCAAAGAAAACTTTTTTCAGGATGACATTTCCCCATTTCACTTCACACGGCAGCATTTACCTCCTGACCGTCTGATGTCTCCCTCTGCTCTCAAAAGCTGACCAAAACATCTTGGCTTTCTTATGAGCACAAAAGCTGAAAAAATCATAGCCTCCCTCTGCTTACACAAGCTGCTGCTCCCGTGGCGACCCCCCATCCTGTGGCCTCTGCCACGACCATGTTCCTGGGGGGCCCTTGAGGATTTTCTTCCTTGTGCACACCCTAAAAGCAAAGTCTGCCTCATTAGATTATAGCTGAAAAATTGCAGCCAGATGGTCAATCACCAGCATCGCAACCAAAGGAGCAAAGATATTTTAGGTTCAAGGGTTTCCCATTATGTAATGGCACCGACACAGAGGCGGCTGCGGAAGAGGTGGTTTCTTAATTCTTTGGTTTCACTAGTAATGAGGGAAATTTTTTTTTTTTTTTGCTCGTTACAGGTGTTGGAGATTGGCAGGATCCACCCTTAGAGGCCCGATGCTGTTTTCATCAAAAAGCGGTGTAAATAAGTCTTTGAGTTTATCCTTGTAAAGCGACAGCTGCTCAGACAGACACATCCCCCAGGCCTGCCCAAGCTGTTGCTCCCTGCGGGTCCTTTCGGGTAGGTTGCGTTGCAGGGGGACGGATCACCCCGGGATTAGGGAGAGCTCTGCAAGGGACCTTGGAGAAACCGAAAAGCCGATGCCAACCTCGCAGCCTTCGTCAGAGCATCTCGGCACCCAGCACAACAACGGGAGACTGTGGCTTCTCCCTTGGGCAATGTGGTTATAACCTTTGGCGAGTGTGGCTAAAACCTGACAGTGGTGGATGAGGAGTGTGGAGCAGAGCTCAGCGTGAGGACTGGTCCCTAACATAAAACTAGAAAGTTAGGAGTGGGAGAGGGAGCTCAGGGACAGGCAGGAACGCTGCAGCATCTGCCCAGCTTGTGCTCCACGTCTCGGGGCAGCTCCTCTCCAAGGCTGGGTCTCCCCCGTTGCTGCCAGGGCTGGGGGGCTGGCAGCATTGCTCACGTGGTGTCCCCCATCTGCCACCCATGTTGTCATCGAAGGACCCCTTCGAGGCAGAGGAGCCGAGAGATGCGGTGGGGGGAAGCTAGAGAGGAGCTGGAGAAGTTTACAATGGAGAGAAGCGGCAGCCTGGGGCGTCAAGCGCCTCTGGGCACTGGACCCTGCTGCTTTTTTTTTGTTTTTTGAGGTCCTGGGGAGTTGGCCAAGGAGCATCTCCCCTGTGCCAGGCACGTCCCACCCCACCGCGGTGCCCTCGTGAGCCCCAGCCCCCCGGCACACGCAGTGGTGCCGGTGAGCAGGACCCTGCCTGACCCTGGGGGGCCGCAGGCCGGAGCTGGCCTGCCTTTAAGTCATGTTTTTTGCCCTCCTGACCCTGAAGGCCCTGAATAACTCAAGATTCAGAAACAGTCTGTGCATCTGGAATATTTCTGCCTCACTCGTCGCGCTGGTATCTAGACACCAGCCCAAAATAGCGCCTTGCTGAGATGCAGCTCAGTTGTGGCTGGTAGCAAATGTGCAGCTAAAATCCTGAAGGGGTGTAAGGACGTCTGCACTGCGATGGGCTCGTGGCGTTGCGGGGAGAAACGGCCCCATTTGCCCCGAGCCGTGCCCTGCCAGGGAAGGCCACTGCAGCTGTGGAGGCAGTGAGGGGGGGGGCTCCTGGCGCAGACCCCCCCGCTCAGCTGGAGGCTCCTCCGGCGCCTTTCCCACCCCACACCCCCTCCTGCGAGGCCGTCGCTGCAGGGGACAGAGCGAGGGGATGACGGTGATTGCTTTAATAAGATGGGCTTGACCCTTCCAAAACCAGGAGAGGGACCCCCCCCGCCCCCCACCCCCGGGGCTGGGTGTCCCCCCGAGGGAGGCAGCACCCCGAGGTGCTCCCGGGGGACCCCTCAGCACCGCGGGAGGGGCAGAGCCGGCAGCGCCTGCCCTTGCCCCAGCACCCTGGATGGTGGGTGCAGGCCCCGGCACTCAGCACCTCCCGGTGAGGTGCTGGATCTGGGTGTGTTTTCGTGCCACGCGCGCGGGGGGGGGGACACCAGAGCGGGTCCCCCCAGGGCCCTGCAGGGTGGGGGGCACCTCCAGCCCCCCCGCGGTTGGGGGCTCAGCACCCCCCCAAGGGTGGTTGTTGCAGTCCCTGGCTGGAAGGGGAGGGGGTCCACCCTCTGTGGGCATGGGGACACTGGGCCTCTCCTGCCGCTGCCGGGGGGGCTGGCGGCATCGCTGGTGTGGTGTCCCCCATCCCCCCACCGATTTTGTCATCAAAGGACCCTGAACGGGGCGGGGGGGACGTGCAGCAGCCCCCTCCCCAGCCCGCGCCTTTGTCCTCAGGCTCTGTCCTCGCAGCTCGGGGTTGGGGACCGCGGTGTCACTTGTGGCCCCGGAGCATCTCGGGGATGTCAGAGCATCTCCGGCGCCGTCCGGTCCAGGCGTGCGTGGGCCGGACTGGGGGAGCCCTCTCGTGGTGGCTGCGCCGAGCAAACCGCCCGGCTGTGCTGAGCCCCAGCTGAGCGTCACCCAGGCTGGTCCCAGGGGAGGATGCTCCGGCCTCGTGGATCCCTCGGGGAGTCGGAGATCCGTCCCTGAGTGGGCCAGGTTTTGCTCACCCCGCTGCAAAGCCAGGCAGGACCCTGCATGGAGCTAACCCAGCCCGAGGGAGGGGACGGGGACCTGCCCCTGTGTCCCTGCGCTGCTGGACGGGTCTCGTGTCCCGGAGGTGTGCGAGGGCCGGGTCCCCGTGCTGGGACAGCGGCTGGTGCACGGGGTGGGACAGGGCTGGAGCAGTGTCCTTGCACTGGGATGGGCGCAGGACGGAGCGTCTGCGGGGTGGGACGGGGAGCAGCCAGTGTCCCCGCGGCACGGCAGGGTCCCCAGCCGGGCACAAGCTCGGAGGGAGGGAGGGAGCTCGGTGGCACTCACCGTGTGCCGTCATCTCCACACGATGGGACCCCCAACGCAGACATGGGGGTCGGGACGGTCCCAAACCCTTGGGGATGGCCCAGGGTGGGGCGCGGGGCGGACACCGGTGGGATGAAGTGGGGACCAGGGATCGGAACATCCTCACGGATGAAATCTGGGGAGGCTCGTGCCTCCCTGCCACCGCACCTCCCACCCCCCCGGGCGCCGGTGAAAAGCAGGAACCGCCCCCCCCGCTCCATCATTTTCCAAATCTTTATTGTAAATAAATTTCTGCGGCATTGCAGGAGGCTTCCCAGGGGCCGGAGCCGGGGCCGAGCGAGGAGCACACGGCATCTCCGGCAGCGGCAGCGGCAGCTCCCTGGCGCGTGCAAAGCGGGAGCGCGAGGCAAGGCGCAGGGGTTTTGGGGGGGGGGGGGGGGGGGGGGGGGGCAACGGTCCCACCCCCCACGACCCCAGGGCCCCCATCCCGGCTGCGGGCGGTAGCGCGGAGCGAGGCGGTGGGTGCGGGATGGCGCTGGGGTTCGGGGCGGGGGGTTTGCTGCCGCCCCGGTGTGCTTGTCCCCGGCCACGTGCTGGGATGGGGCTCAGCCTGCTGGGGGTGGGGGGGGGGGGGGGGCTGGGGGGGCTGTTTTGCTCTCTTGGCTCTGGAAGCACCGGGTGCACCCCCCATCCCGGCCATGGGCCCTCCCTGGCGCGTCCATGGCAGCACCAGCGGCACCACTTGACCTTACAGCGTTAAAATCATTAAGAAAAAAACCCCAATATTTATATATATATATATATTAATGTCCCCAAACCCAATGACAAAGGTGGCTTCTCGCTCTGAAACAGAGGCATTCCCTCACCTTGGGGACCACCCCGGTGCTGTGGCCGTGACAGCTGTGGGGACATCGTGGTGACAGGGATAGAGGCGGGGGGGGTTGGTCTAGACCCCCACCGTGTGCCCGTGGTGGCCCCAGGCCCCATCAGCCTGTCACCGATACATCAGGCCACCACCAAAGCCAAGCCTGGGGACATCCAGCCACCCCCCTGTCCCACTGTCACCTCCCAGCATGCTGGCACAGCCGTGCCCCGTCCCCTGTCTGGTGCCACCACCGCCAAGGCGCCCATGGGTGCTGCGGGTGCCCAGCTGGGCTGTCACACAACGCTGGGGGCCACCGTGTGCCTCGGCCTGGGGACACCCTGGGTCACCCTCTGCCTCCGTGGCGGGCGGGGACACTGGGCAAGGGAGGACACAGAGGGGACACCCCCACCCCACCATGGGCATGGGGGTGTCGTCCCCCTTTGCCCCCCTGCTGAGTGTCCCCACACATACCCACAGGTTGAGTGTCACCAGGGGTGGGGGGGGTGTGCGTGTTGTGTGTGTGTCCCCATGCTAAGTGTCACCAGTGGTTGAGGGGACCAGCGTGGGGGCCCCCAGTGCTCTGTGGTGCCGTGGGGTGGGTGGCCCTGTGGAGCCCCCCCATGCAAGGTGACATCTGCCACATGCCGTGGGGACGGGGGTGACATGTCCCACCAGCCCGGGGCTCACCCTGTACCCCAGCACCCCCCGGGTGGGAGCTGCTGCCACTGCCCCCCCCCAGTGCCACCAGTTTGGGGTTCACCTGCCTGAGCTGGGGAAGCGGCGGGGGGGACAGTCCTTGCCCCACCCCTGGGGACATCGGGGGCCCATGGCTGGATGGGTGCAGCCATGACATTTGGGGGCAGGATAGAGTTTGGGGGGGACACACACCCACCCCCCACATGGGGGGCTGCAGAGCTGCTTTTTTGGAGGGGGGCACATCTGGGGGTGCAGCTCTGGCCCCCATGGACCCCATCCCAGACCTGTCATCTGGGGGGGGGGGGACACGACACATGACTCCCAGGCCCTGCACTGGGCGGGGGTGCTGGCCTGGGACTGGGGTACACTGGCCTCATCCTGGGGTACACTGGCCTGCCCTTTGGGGGACCCAGGCCCCGAAGCTGGAAGATGCTGATGGAGGGGGGATGCAGGGCTGGGGGGGGGGCGGTCCCTGCTCGCCCCATCGGGTACATTCATCCCGGTGCTGGGAGTGCCGCCAGCCCCGCGGCGGGGGCCGGGGGGGCCCGTACATTCGTGGTGGGGGGGGGGGGGTCAGGGAGGGGGGTTAGGTCCCGGGTGCCCCCCCCCACCCCCTGCTCTCCTCCTTGGCCGGACTCTCGGCAGCGGCGCCCCATTTAATTGCTGTTAATGAGGTGCTGGGAGAGGGGGGGGAGGAGGTGGGACAGAGCGGCCCCACTCAGGCCCCCCCGGACCTGCAACACAGAAGTGGGGTGCGTTTAGTGTTGGGGCTGTGACATGGGGGGGACACATGGGGGCGGGGGGACACACTGAGCTGAAAAGAGCCAGCACCGGGGGTGGGGGGGGCTGCTGCCAGGCCCACCCCCCCCCACCAACTGCCATCTCTTTTCAGTTGGGGGGGGGGGGGGGCACAGAGATGGAGACAGCACGGCCGGACACACAGCGACACGGACAGACGGGCTCCCACGCCGTCAGGCTGCTGGACGGTGACGGTGACAGTGACGGTGACGAGGAGGAGACGGGGGGGGGGGGACACACACGGTTACACTCCCTGCTGCGCCGGGTCGTACCTTCCTCGGCGGATGTTCCTTGGGGGGGGGGCGGTGGGGGGAGAGGAGAGGAGTGTTAGTGCCACCCCCGTGTCCCTGCTGTCCCCCCCCCACCCCCCCCCCCGCTGTGATGTCCCCGCTCCCCCAGTGTCCCTGGTCCCACAGGCAGCAGACATGTCCCAGTGCCAGGCAGGAGCACACGCGCGGGGGGCACCAACACAGCCCCCACCCCGGCACCCCATGCTTGGGGACAGACACGGCCAGGACTGAGCAAGGGGTCAGGGTGACAGTGAAGCCCCAGTGCCACATGCAGGGGCTGGGACAAGGGACCAGGCAGGGGACGAGGGGACCAGGCAGGGGATGAGGGGACCAGGCATCGCCAGCCCCCCAGGGGCCACACTGCGGGTGATGCCCCCCGAGCTGGGGAGGGATGGCAGGGTCCCCCCCACGGGTGCCCGGAGTGTCCCCAGGAGGGCAGAGGCCTGGCCCTGGCGCGGTGACAGTGGCCAGTGACGTGCTGGCAGCGGAAGGGGACGAGCCATGCGGCGGCTGCTTACTTAAATCCCCAGCCTGTCCCCCTAGGACGATGGCAGCCACCAGCACGGCCCCCGCGATGGAGCCGATAATGATATTGGTGCCACTGGGACCTGTGACAGAGGGGACAGGGAGGAGGGGACAGGGACACAGGTCAGTGGGAGGACACGTGGGGACACAGCCCCAGGGCAGCCCCAGCACTGTGGGGACCTGGGACACACACACACACACAAGACCCAGCTGTGCCCAGCGGAGGGGATGGTGGCACTGGGCCCCCTGGGGGGGCTGGGGACAGCAGGGACATGGGGGGGCCCGTCCTGTCCCCCCCCCCCCCCCCCAGCCCCGCGGGGCGCACGGACCCTTGTATCGCTCCGTCTCCCCCGTCGGCTTCGGCTCGGGGATGGGGTCGTAGACGCTGCAGTCCTTCCCCGTCCACTCGGCCCGGCAGATGCACTTGCCCTCGTTGCTGCAAACCTGCGGGGGGGTTGGGGAACGGCGTCACCCCCCCCCCAACACTGCCGCGACCCCCCCCCCCCCCCGCCAACCTCGGGTCCCCCTTGCCCCTCACCCCGTGGTCAAAGCAGATCTTCCCGTCCCAGCTGCCGGGGCAGGAGCTGAAGTTAAAGGCCGTGGCTGGAAGGCATTTGCGGTCGAGACACAGCATGCCGGGCCCGCAGGGCGTCCCGTCCTCCACGTAGCTCAGGTCCGAGCCGTCCACCAGCTGCACGTGGCCTCCCCTGCGCCGGGGCGGCAAAGAGCGGGTGACACCGGGACCACCCCCCGGGGACATCCCTGGCCCCCCCCCCCCCCCCCCCCCAGGGCAGGGGGCACCCACCTGCAGTCCACGTAGCGGTTTTGGTGGAAGAAGGTGGTGGCGGCGATCTCGCCGCTGAGCTCGCCCAGCCGGGGTGCGCCCGAGATGTTGGCGCAGAGGAGGAAGCCGCAGAGGACGTCCCTGCGAGGCACCCGTGGCATCACCGGGGCGGGCGGGCGGCACCCGGGGGGGGGGACGGGGACGGGAGGGGGACACGGGGCTCACTCACTGCTTGTTGCACTGCAGCCAGCCCAGGCCCTCGCGCCCGCAGTTGCCCCTCTCCGTCCCCTCCACATTGAGCTTCTCATAGCAGAAACGCTCGGCCGAGCCTGGGAGGAAAACGGGTGTCACCCGCTCGTCCCCTCCTGTCCCCCCCAACCCCCCCCCCCCCCCCCGAGGCAAAGCCACCCCAGGGCCGGCACTTACCGCGGCCCCACAGCACGTTGCACTGCCGGTCTCTGGTTTTGCAGCGCCCGCCGTAGCATCGTCCCTGGGGAGCGGGGAGAGGGGTCACGGGGATGGGCTTGCACGTGCGTGGCCACGGGGGGGTGGTGCAAGGCCAATGCCCCCCCCCCCCCCAACCCCCCCCGTGTGTGTGCTCAGCCCCAGGAGCACCGTCCCGGCTGCGGGGACAGGTCCACGGGGACCGGGGGTACCACGTCCCCACAACCACGGGGCGAAGTTTGGCACAAGGGGCTTCACCCACGCGTGCACGTGGAAGGATTGCCCGGACCATCGCTGCGGGCGCCTGCGCGCCAGGAAGCGGCACAGGGACGGGCAAAATTATGGGGTGCAGTGGTCGCAGCCGCCCGCGCACGCTGGGAGGGGGTGTGGCACAGGGACCGCAGCCCGGCTGGCCCAGGGAAGGGCTGCACGGCGCAGGGCCGCTGCCGACCTGGTGCTCGGGGACCCAGCTCACCCCAAATCCCAGCCCCTGCGTGTGGCCCAGCTGTGGGCACAGCCAAGCACAGGGACGCTGGAGCCCATGGGGACGTGCTGGAGTCCAAGGGATGTGTCTGACCCCGTGGAACGTGCCCGAGCCCCACGGGAATGTGCCTGAGCTCCCGGGATGTGCCCGAGATCCACAGTGAGGTACCCGAGCCCATGGGAATGTGCCGGAGCCCACGGGGCCATGCCTGAGCCCCACGGGACGTGTCCAAGCCCCGCAGGGATGTGCCGGAGCCCCACGGCCGCGTCCCACCACGCCGGGCTGGACTCACCTGCTCATTTTCGCAGAAGTAGCCGTCCAGCTTGTGGAGGTTGGGGGGACACTGGGGGGGGACACGGAGAAGAGGACAGATGATGCCACGTGGCCCTGCAATGTGTGTGCCCCCCCTCGCACCCCCCCCCCCAAGCCTGGCTCACCTGGCTGGAGTCCCCGGTGCAGCTCTCGGGGATGTCACACTCGTTCACGGCCTCCCGGCAGGACACGCCGCGCGGCTCGTACTGCGTGGGGGGAGGAAGCCGCCGCATCAGGCACTGGTGGCACCGGGACCCCCGGCGCTCACCGGCTCCAGCGCCGCCCCCCCCTGCCCCCCCCTCCCCCCCCCCCCCCGGGCCCCGCACCTTGCAGCCTTTGCAGCACAGCCCGTCGCTGCACATGGCGTCGTGGGTCAGCGTGCACTTCTTGCAGCAGTTGCCCCCGCTCCTCGCGCACTCCTGCCAGGACAGCCCCCCCCTGTCAGCCCCCCCCCCCCGGCGATGCCGGCAGCCGCGGCCGGCGCACCCCGGGCCCCGCTCACCGCCAGCGAGCCGCAGTCGCACTCCTCGCCCGCCTCCACGAAGCCGTTGCCGCACTCCGGAGGGTCCAAGAGCTGCCGGGATTGAGGGGAGGGGGATCAAGAGATGCTGGGGGGGGGGGGGGGAGGGGGCCCTGCGCTGCCGCGAGTCCCCCAAAAAGGGGCATCATGTCCCCAGGGGACGGCAGGACCCCCAAACCACTTTCCACGAAGTGCAAGGGTCCGGCTCTGTCCCCCCCTGGGGACGCCGGGTTCAACGCTGGCACGGTGACCTTGGACGTGGCAGGGGCTGGGGGCGGGGGACCGCAAGTCCCAAGGGACCCTCTGAGCCACCCCCAGGGCATTGCTCCCCCCTCCTGATGGCTGCCACAGGGTCAGGGGGCCGGGGGGGGGGGGGCCGTTACCTTCAGGGGTTTGTTGAAGAGGCAGCTGCCGCCGCCGTCCTGCAGGAACTGGTTGTACTCGTCGATGCTGCAGCGGGAGAACTTCCGCGGGAGGTAGTACCTGCAGGGTGGGGGCCACTGTCACCCCCCCCCACCCTCCCCGCACCACCTGGGTGGCATCGCCAGGAGCAGCTGGTCACCCAAAATGGGGCAGGACCCTCAGCGATGCCCTTGCCGCGAGGGGGACGGTGGCAGTGCCACCTGAGTGGGCACCCACCCTGTGTCCTCCATGATGCAGCCCAGCCACGAGTCCGGACACCGGCAGTCCCCTGGGAGGAGGAGAAACGGGCTGGGGGGTGCCGACTGTCCCCGCTGCCGGCTTGGTGGCACCGCAGTGTCGTGTGTGTCCCCCCCCCGCTGTCCCCCTCCCACTGACGGGGGGGGGTTGGTGGGTACCTGCGGCCGCGCGGTGCTTGTTCCACATCATGCCCACGTTCTGCCCCAGCGTCTGCGCCAGCGTCACCGCCATGGCCGCCACGTTGCCGTACTGCGCAGGGGGGGACGGGGGGGAGTCACCGGAGGGGACCCCCCTCCCGACCCCCCCATATCCCCACCCTGCTCTCACGGGGGGTCTCGCTGCACCTACCTCGTTGACACCCCCGGCGCGGGCCGGCGAGCAGATGCCCCCCACGAAGGCAGTGCCGCTGCGGCTGCTCTGAAACGTCCGACCCCTGCGAGGAAGAGGATGGTGGGGACGGGGAGGACAGTGGCTCCCAGCCCCGGGGAGGTGACACGGCCACGGCGCTCACGAGAAGAGGTGGACGGTGTCGCTCTGCTCCGCCAGCCCCTCGCGCCGGTACTTCACAAACTCGTTCAGGGTCTCCAGGGAGTCCTCCCCCATCCGGATCCGGTCCTCCGCGGCCCACGTCTCCATGGCCACCAGCACGATGCGGGTGTTGAGCTGCTCCTTGTAGATCTGTGGGGATGAGGGGACAGTGGTGGGGATGAAGGCCCTCCCTGGGACAAACCCCCCCACAGACAAACCCATCAGGTGTCCGGGACAAACCCTCTGGGGACAATCCCACCCGGGGACAACCCTTGCAGGGACAAACTCCCTGGAGACAAATCCCCCAGGAGCTGAGCACCCCAGGGACAAAACACCAGTGGGACAAACCCACCGGGTGCTGCAGATGAAACCCCTGGGGACAAATCCATCAGGTGCTGAGGAAAAAAAACCTCAGTGGGCCAAACCCCTTGGGGCCAAACCCCCCAAGGGACCAACCCAGACACCGAGGACCAACCCTCCCCCAGGGTAGAACCCCCAGGGACCATCCCAGCAGGTGTCAGGGACAAACTCCCTGGGGACAAACCCCTGGGGAAAGTCCACTCAAGGACAACCCCCCAGTGGGACAAACCCCTGAAGGACAATCCCCGCAGGGACAAACCCACCAGGTGCTGGAGACAAACTCCTTGGGGACAACCCCCTCCGGGGACAAACCCCCATCCAGGGACAAGCCCACCAGGGACCAATCCCCTGGGAATGAGCTCCCCCAGGAGACAAACTGACCAGGGATAAACCCACCAGGCACTGGGGAACATCCCCCCCGCTCCAGGGATAAGCCCACTGGGGGACAACCCCCCTGGGAATGAACTCCCAAGAGACAAACCCGCCAGGTGCCAGGGACAAGCCCCCCCCCCCCAGGGACAAGCCCTCTCTCACCATGTCAGCCAGGTTGACCACGGACTTGGCGAAGTTGCTGGTGAGAACCACGGACTTGCGGAGCTGCAGGAACTGGGGGGGCACCAAGGGCCAGGTTGGGCTGGGGGGGGGGCCACCCTGGCTCCCCACCCCACCGGCCCCGGGACCCCCCGCACTTACCAGCTGGTGGTCGTTCACCACTGCCAGCTCGATGTACTTGGTCTCGCTGTGAACCGTGTGCTGGGCTCGGCGTACCTGCCAGCGGCAGCCCACGGCTGAGCCGGCCCCGGCAGGATCCGCTCGCCGAGCCCCAGCAAAGGAGCTTTCCCACCCGCTTTGTGGGGGATATTTGGGCTGCATGGAGCGTGGGGAGGGGGGGGGAAGCCGCCTGGGTGGGCTGGGGGCAGATCCCCTCCAGTACTGCCAGGGTGTCCCCAGGGCATCCCCGAGCCCACGCAGGAGCAGCACCCTGCAAGCACATCCCCAGCACCCACGAACCGGCGCGGCTGTACCCGCGGCAGAGCCGTGCCGTGGGCGAGTGGCCCCTCCAGCGAGGCTGAGCTGGCAGCCGGAGGCCAGCCAGCGTCAAGCGTCCTCGTCCCCTGTCCCCTGTCCCCCCACTGTCCCTGCTAACCTGCCGCCGCCGCCGCAGCTTTGGTAATCCGCCCGCGACGCGCTGGTTCAGCGCAGGGAAGAGGCAGCCTGGAGGGAAGGGACAGAGCTGGCGGGGCACAGGACTCCAGGGCCACGGGGGCCACTGTCACCGGTCCTGGGGGGTGAGCACCAGCTCTGTGTGAAGGCTCACCCAGTCGGGCGCAGCTGGGGACACGCTGGATGACGTGTGGTCGAAGGCCCTGCCATGGGGAGAGGAGTGTCACGGCCACACAGGGATGTGCCAGCGTGGAGGGGGGGGCGGGGCTGCCACATCCCTGTGTCCCCAGGACTGTCCCCAAGCCACAGCCAGGCCCGTAACGCTGAAGTGGGGAAACTGAGGCCGGCACGCAGACAGGTCCTGGTGCCACCACTCACCTGCCCGTGCTCAGCGCCCACCTGGGGCTCGATCAGGTAGGTGGCTCGGCCGTCTGAGAAGACCCCGCTGCAAAGAGGTGGGGGTGACAGGGTGCAGAGGGGTGCAGCCCCCGCCCTGCACCCCCTTTCAGCCCACCCAGCAGCGGGGGGGTACTCACCGCAGGCCCTGGCAGCTGGAGAGAGCCACGAAGGAGCGGGGCTGCCCCCGGATCCGGCCCTGGTAGTAGCAGTGCTCCCCCGCGCCCTGCCAGGGCAGGGAGAGGCGGCTGAGCCGGTCAGACCCTGCCCTGCCCCGGGGTCCCATCCTGGCCCCAGGAGCCTGCACCCCCCGGCTGGTGGCTCTGGGGTTCTTTGTCTGTCACTCTCGGGGCGCGCCTGGCACCCACGGCACGGGGTCAGTGCCCACCGCTGCCCCGGGCAAGGCTGGCAGAACGTGCCAAAGCACCCTGGGGATCCCCCATCAGCAGCACCCATGTGAGGTGCATCCCCCCTGTCACCCACTGGGGCAGCGCCCTGATGCATGGGCTGGGCACCCCAGGGGCCGGGGGGCACCCCAAGAGCACCCAGGCAGGGATGCTGAGCAGCTGGTGGCCACGCCTGGACTTCTGCTGGATTTATAAATCTGCCACCATGACCTAGAGCTGGCACAGCATGGCATGTCACCACGTGGCACAGCGTGGCACTGCGTGGCACGGCATGGCACCATGTGGCACGGCGTGGCACCGCGTGGCACCACGTGGCACGCAGCTTACCGTGCTGTGGCTGCCGTTGCTGCTCGTGCCAACGTGCCGCTCCACGTAGTGGGATGCGAGGAGGTGGCTGCCGGGAGCAGGCGGGGGGGTGAGAGGCCGCGGCGGTGGGGAGGAAGAGGAAGAAGAGGAGGAGGAGGGACACGGCAGCAGCCGTGGCCCTGCTGGCATCACCCTCATCGTCCACCCACCCATGCACGTGGCATCACCCCAGCACGGGATCCCCCCGCTTTGGAGGGTGCTGGCACCCCATGGGCCCCTCACCCTCCCATACCCCGCCCCGCTCAGCCCCGGTACCGGAGCTGGGGCGGCTCCACACAACCCACCCCCTCTCCCCAAGGCCCCCCGGCTTCTCTGCCCCCTCCCTCCTGCCCGGGGGCAGTGGCAGCCCCACGGCGGGTGCCCCCGTCCCACCGGGACCCCCGGGTCCGCTCACTGGTTCAGCTGGAGGTCGAGGGTGAAGGCCGAGCCGAAGGCGCGCACCACGAAGCTCACCCGTGCCAGGTGCAGCCCCTGCGAGAGAGCCGGAGCCGTCAGCTCCCCCGCACTGTCCCCCCCAAAGAAAATTAAAAATTAACTAATAAAAAAAAACCAAACCCAACCCGCTTCTATTTTAACCCCCAAAAATTCAGCGTAAAGGAAAATGCTGGGCTTTTTCCTCCCCAGATCATCACTCCTGCAGTACCAGGAGGGCCCCTGCATCCCGTCGCCCACCTCCTCAGGAGCCGTATGTGGGTGGGGGTTGCTGGAGCATCACCCCCGCCCCGCGGCAGTGCCGAGCCGGCGTTTCACCCGCCCTGCGGCGCCCGTCGCTCCTGACCTAATTCTTGCCGGCGGCAGCGGGAGCCGCGCTCTGTGGCGCCTGCCCGAGACCTGGCAAACTCACTGCACAGGTGAGGGTCCATCACCACCAGCACATCCCTCAGGCGCCCCCAGGGCTTCGCACCAGGGGGGAAACAGCGGCCAGGAAAAGCCAAACCTTTTCTGGTGTGCCCCGTCCCCTCCCCGCTGAGACCCCGGGCAAAATTTGGGATGGTGGCATGGGGATGAGGACCCGTGTGCCCCCGCGCAGCACCCCGGGGAGGGGACAGCCCAGGCCAAGAGCACGTCCACCGGGTCAGGCAGCGCAGCCAGGAGAGCTTCACCGGTGCCACCCCCAGGACCCAACCCCAAATTCCCCGGGGACCTGCAGACGCTCCATCCCCTCGTGATGCCCTGGCTTAACACCTCCCTAAAATCTCACCAGCGCCGGCCAGGCCGCCCCCCGGCATTTCCCGGCGTCCGGTGGTTTTACTTAACGCTGGGTTTTAAATCACCTTCGCGGCGACTGCAGCTCGTTATTTTGCCTTTCATCCGGTGAGGATGGGGGGGATCGATGCGCGCCGGCCTCCGCAGCCGCCACCGCCTCGTTGAAAGCATCAACCCCCACCTCACGCCGGATGGGACGCGTGTGCCGGCGCCCCGAAACGCCGGGAAAACCGGCCGCCAGCCCTGGGGTGAAGGTCACTGGCCGGCGCGGGTGCACCGAGCCCGGCGGGGGATGAGCAGCTGCAGTTTGGGGTTTGGCACCAGGTGGGCTGTGCGGGGCCGGGCTCCATCCCCCCGGCACCGGAGCCGTGAGCCCATCCAGGCCACAGGAGCCCTGCCTGCTGCCTCCCGCTCCCATTTCATCTCTCCCGACGCCCCTGCGCGCACCGCCCCTACCCAGATTTAATGGGATTTCGCGGCACACGTCAGTGCCCCGCCGGGGGGGCGGCAGTGGGATGGTACCCGGGGGGATGGAGGCCCCGGTTTGGGATGCCGGTGGCCACGCACACGGCCCGTGGCAGGGCGGGCGATGGCAGTTGCCTGGGCACCTGCCAACCCACCCAGGGACCCCAGAAATAGAGAGGATGGGGGGGGTGGGGGTTGCGGTTCACTTACGGGGCCTCCTCCTCCTCCAGGCTCATTCCTGACCCTGGTATCCAGCTGATGCTTCTGGACTTCTCCCCCCGAGCTCTGCCCCACCAACCTGCTGGGGTGGGTGATTTGGGAAACGACCCGCCCGTCCTGCCATCCGGCCCGGGGGAGCCTCCGCGGCAGCGAGCCGGCCTGCGCGGGACCTGCGGGCGAGGGGAGCCAGTGGCCACGGCCCAGGGAGGGCTGGGGCGCGGGGGGCGAGGAGGGGTGGGGATGGGGACGTGCTCTGGGGGGGGACCCAAGTGTGGTGGTGTATCCCAAAAGGGACATCTGTGTCCCAGATAGGATGCGCAGGGGACACGGAGGGTGGGTATGGGGACATGTCCCCGGGTGGAGAGCTGGGGGACACGGGGGGGGGGGACACCCAGGTACGGTGGTGTGTCCAGGAGGGAGCACCCAGGAAGCACAGGCTGGGGGGTGCCCAGAGGATGTGGGGGACCAGTATGGGGACACATCAAGGAAGGGAAGCTTCGGGGACCTGAGATACAGTGGCACATCCTGGAGGGGACACCCAGGGGACAAGGGTGGCTGGGAAAGCGATGCAGCCCAGAGGGGGGACCCAGGGGATGTGGGGGGACTCAGGAACGCCATTGCACCTGGAGAAGGAGGGGGACTGGGCACAGCAGCACATCCTGGAGGGGACATCCAGGGGACAGGGAGGGCTGGGATGGGGACACCTCGTGAGGGGACAGCCAGGGGATATGGGGGGTCAGTACGGGGACACATCCCAATGGGAGATGGAGGGTTGGTGTGGGGACACCCAGGGGACAGGAGGACGGGTGTGAGGACACCTCGGGAGGGGACACCCAGGGGACACCAGAGGGCTGCTACGGGGACACCTCCCAAGGGGACATGGAGGGCCGCTATGGCGGGGGGGGGACACGACGACACACACGACACAACACCCAGGGGACAGGGAAACCGATAATGGGGACACATCCCAGAGGGGACATGAGGGGCCGCTATGGGGACACCTCCGGAGGGGACACCCAGGGGACACGGGGGTGACAGCTGTGGGGACACCTCCCGGAGGGGACGCGGAGGGCTGGCGTGGGGCCACGTCCCGCGGGGACACCGAGGGGACAGGGGCGCGGGGCCGGTGGCTGCGGGGGTGTGGGGGGCGCGGGCCCGGCCCCTCCCGGGGCGCTGCGGGGCGGCGCTGCGGAAAAAATGTGTCGATGCAGCGAAAAACCCGCAGCGGCGGCGGGGGGAGCGGGGAAGGGGGTTGGGGGGGGAACGGGGAGCGGGGCCGGGCACGGGACCTACCTGCCCGCGGGGTGAGCGAGAGGAGCGCGGCGAGCAGCCAGCCCCGCAGCGGGCTCATGGCTCCCTCATAATCCGAGCGCGGCCGCGCCGGGCCCGCGGAGCCGGGGACCGTGGGGACCGTGGGGCCCGCGGGGCCCGTCCCGTCCCGCCCGTTCCCCCCCCCCCCCCCCCCCAACGCCCCGGGCCGGGCCGGGAGCGCCGCCCCCGCCCCCTGCACGCGCGCACGGCCCCGGGCCCGCCGCCACCGGCACCGGCGCCGGCAGCGGCAGCGCCCGCCCCGCCCCGCCCCCCCCCCCCCGCCCTCCCTCCCCACCCCCCCGGTTCCCCCCCCCGTTCCCCCACCCCCCCCCCCCCCCCCCCCCTCCCCGCCTGCCGCAGCGCCGTGGCACCCCCGCGGCATTGCAGCAGCGGAGCCCCCGGCCGCCTGCACCCCCCGACCGGCACCGGCGCGCCCCCCGCCCAGCCCAGCCCCGCAGCTGGGATTGGAGTGGACCAGCCAGTACCAGACCCCCCCCCCCCAGCCAGTACAGGACCACCAGTACTGGATCTAGTCAATACTGCCCCCCCCCCCCCCCCCCCCCCCCCCCCCAGGACTGGACTCTCCAGGCGGTACCAGACTCCCCTCCAACCAGCACTGCCCCCACAGCCCGTTCAGGACACACCCCCCCCCCCCCCCCCCCCCAGTATCAGCCCCCTCAGCCGGTAACAAACCCTCCCACACCAGTACTGGGCTCCCCAGGCCCGCACAGGACCCTGCTCCCCCCATAGCCAGTACTGGGCCCCCAGCTGGGACCGAAGCCCCCCGAGCGCATCCCCCACCCCAGCTGTAACCAGACCCCCAGCTGGGACTGGGTCCCTAACTGGCCCCTGGCTAGCACCAGAGCCCCCACCCCTCCCAGGGCGCCCAGCCAGCACCACAGCCCCTCCAGCCAGTACTGGAGCTCCCAACTGGAACCAGGCCCCCAACTGGTACTGAGTCCCCAACCACTGCCAGGACCCCCAGCCATTATCAGAGCCCCCCCAAACAGTACCAAGCCCCCCCACCCCCCAAGCTGGTCCTTGCTCCCTGCCTGGTGCTGGGTCCCCAGCTGGTGCCAGTGTTGGCTGGGGAACCCCAACTCTGGATGGAGCCGGGGTCCTGGGGCAGGGTGCTGGCACGCACGGCACTTGGGGAAGCAGCTCAATCCTGAACTGGCACGGGTGGGTGGGTGCTGTCACTCAGGGGGTGCTGTGGGGTCCCCACCCACAGCCAGGTTTAACCCTCAGGAAGTACCAGAAACAAGGCCCCCGCCTTGGGTTGCCCCGATTTTGGGGGATGCTGCAAGGCCACATTCCCCAGTTGGGGATAATGGAACAATTCTGGGGGGAGGGAAGCCCCAGTAAACTCCTGTTCATTGCAGCTGTGGGGTGGAAGGGGGGTACAGCATTGTGTGAGGGTGACGCTGAGCCCCCCAGGGGATGGAGGGGCCGTCCTGAGGGGCACAGGGGGGGGCTCTGAGCCCCAAGGTGATGGACGGTCCGACCAGCATGGGGGGGCCAGAGGTGGGACAGCTGACCCCCGTGGGGCTGCTCAGGACCGTAGCCAGGCTGGTGCTGGGTGTCCCCACGGGTGGTGACAGGCAGCCCCTGCCCGCGTCTGATGGGGGGGCCAGGGGCAGCCAGCACCCAGGGGGGCTCCCCACATCACCCCACCTCCCGCTCCCACCACCTCCCACACCCACAGTGAACCCAGGGGAAGGATTCCCTGCTCATGCCAGCACCCAACCGCTCCCACGGGGCGACAGGGAGCCCATGCCAGTGTGTCTCCCCCTCCGGGTGGATCCCCTCTTTTCCCAGTGCCTTCCTCTGTCCCCCCTGCACTCGGTCCTTTCTCCCCCCAGGACTCACACGCCCACTGGTGACAAAAGCCTTTGGGTACCCAGTTGCAGCTCAAAGCCAGCCCTGGAAGTACCGGGCTTGACTTGGTGGGAAGTTTGCTGAGTATGTGAAGCGGTGAGTCACGGCGGGGTGCAATGGGCCCCCTCCCCGCCTGTGCCAAAAACCACCTTGACGCCCTCGTTAACAGCAGCCACTTTGCTTCTCATCACTCCTGTGCAAAAGTGTGTGTGTGTGGGGGGGGGGGGGGGCAGAAGCATTTAGAGGTGGCAGGGACATGTCTGAAGTTGGGGAGCAGGGAGGGGGGTCAGCCCCTCTCCTTTCCCTGAGCTCTGCCGCTCACCTCGTTCTCATCAACGCTTTGCAGAGCCTTAACGAACCGAAACCTGCAGCAGCTCGGGGATGGGAGGAGGGGGGCGTGCAGGTTCATCTGAGCCTGGTTTTAGCTGAGAGGAGCTGCTGTGCGGTCACGCTGAGGTTGGGGGGCTCACATCCACCCCCACAGCACCCCCACCCCCCGTGCACGGGGGCTGGCACGCACGCGTGCAGGGAAGAGTCTCCCACGCTGGGTTTGTCAGACAGCTGCAGGGGGGGAACAGGCTCCGGGAAATGCCGACCGTCTCCTTGGCCACGCTGCGGCAGTTCCCCGCTCCCCACTGGCACTTCCAGGGCCCACCTCGCCCGGCTCAGCCCCACATCTCCCCTCCCGTGAAGCTCGGCATGGGGCAGGCAGGGCTTCGCAGCTCCGACCCGCTGCCCTCCGCCACAAAGGCGGCGGCGAGGCGAGGAACCTGCGGCATCAGGCACGGCGGAGCCGATCCACCACCCGCTCTGCACCCCAGGGGGGGCTGCAAGGTCAGCAGCCCAAGGGTGCCCACCTCTCCCGGTGGTCCTCAGGACCACAGCGACAAAGGGGACGGGTGCTACACAGGAGAGGGTCTACACCAGATGACAAGCAGCATATCTCCAGCAAGAACATCTGACCCAAAGCTTGAGCGATCCCCGAGGATCCCCAAAGCAGGTCCTCCAGTTCCCAAGACCAGGGAGCTCCATGAGGTAGGTCACTAGCCAAGATCAGGAGGGGGGCAGGCGGCAACCAGGGCTCCCTCTCCCCCCCTCACAAAAGGGCCAAGCGTGGTGAAGGACAACCCTTGTCACACCCCAGCTGATCTCCCAACACCATCTCCCAGGGGAGCTCACTGCCTCCTCCACTGAGCAGCACTGCCATGAGGCAACCCAGACTCTGCAGGGGACAACTGGCCACGGTGAGTTTTGGTCACGTCCACCAAGGGCCTGGAGGGGCCCGTTCCCGGCTCACCCTGAGGCCAGGGCTATCCCTCCTTGCTGTCTCAGGGGCACAGAGCTGGTCTGTCCCTCCAGGACACTGAGCACACCAAGAAGTTGGCCAGTTGGTGCACCAAGCCCATTTCTTCCTCTCTTCCAGCAATTATCCTCCAGGGACATGTCCACAGCAGAGCCCCATGCCTGGTGTGGTTCAGCTCCTGCAGGAGCTTTGCTCAGCCCTTTGTAACCTGTACAGCTTCTTCAGGAGGCAAAGAGCCCGAGTTTGGCTGTTGCACTGGAGAATGATTTAACTCAGGAGGAACCTCTCAAGTCCTGCTCACACCAAGGCCACCTTATCCAGCTGCTCAGGGCTTCACTTCAAGCCTTGAGTGAAGGAGGGATGGCTGTCTTTCACTCAAGGCTTGACAGACCCCACTCCTCTAGGTGCCTGGCCCAGGGCTGTCCCACCCTCCTGGGCAGGGAGACTTTCTTTTTCCCCACCCTGCACCTTGGAAGCCCTAGCTTGGGACATCTGGTACCACTGAAAGGTTGGCTACATCCTACTTGGAACTGTCCTTCAAGAAGTCACACTCTGCTTTTTGATAACCCCAGAACCTCCTCTTGGCAAGACCAGCCCAGGCCAGCTCTGACCCCCCCCTCTCCTTGACCCCAGGCCCAGGAGAGGTCATTAGTTTCCCATCAACTACTCTCCACATGCCTCTACTGAGGGCCATCCCACACGTGGCCACCTCTGCACTGGGTACAACAGCTTCCCGCAGCCCGCTGACCCTGTTCCTAGGGCAAACCACGTATGGGGTGACGTTATGTTACCAGAACCACTGCTGCCTCCCATTCAACCCGGTGCCCACCATCACCCACAGATCCTTTCCAGCAAGGCTTCTGTCCAGCCATCACCTAGACTCTACTGATGGACTTCTCACAAGATTGAGTTTGTATACGCTTAGGCCACCATAAAAGTTCTACCCAGTATACAGCAGAGCAGGATCCCATCTTCCTTTTTATTTGAAAGTTTAAAAGTTTGCTAAAAAAAAACAAACCACAACTTAGTACCAGTTATAAACATCTGTAAACACTTGAAGACATCCAACAAAACCCCAAACCACAGGAAGCACACAGATCTCACCCCCAGGGCACTCCTCTCCACCATCTCTGCACCTCCAAGGACTAGGTTAGAGGAGGAACAGGCCATGCTCTCAATCTGGGAAGGGCAAAGAGCATATTCCTGATGAACAGATTTTTCTAGAGAAAGACCATCTTGTCAGCAGCCCAGTGACGAGTTAAAGGAGGAAGCTATTGGCTCTAAATGTTACCAGCAGAGAGGAGGGAAGATCCCAGCCCCTCTTGCAGCCAAGGATGGTGAAACCACTGCATCACCCATCAGTTCCCAAGAGGAGAGCTGCCCAGGTTGTCTGCGGTGTCTGGAGACCACCGTGCAGCTGACAGTCCTCTCTGGTTCTCAGCAGTATCTCCTGGTCCTGAAAGGGAGGTGGCTTGTTAAATCCCTTTCCAGCCGCTCCATAGCTCCCGCTAAAAGCCCAGAGAACTGTCAGGAGGTGGTTTTAGCTGGTCCAGCTGCTGAAAAAGGTCTCAAGTATGGGGAAAGAAGCTCCTTTTGTCTCTGTGGAGCAGTTCCGGCAATTCTTGTCCTCTTTGCCTGCCCAGGCAAGCTCTGCCTTCTGCTTCAGGACTGAGCAGAGCTGAGACTCATACTCACTGTCCCTCACATTGACATGTGTCCTCTGGAGCAAGTCCCTGTTCACAGTCTGAACCCTGCCACCCTGGACACTTGTTAGTGTGGAGAACAGCTGGGCATCCCAGTCCGACGCAGAACTTTTGCTGAAGTCCTGATCAGCCTCTGCGTTATGTGGGAGCCCAGGGCACGGAGCCCACTCTCCGCTGCGGCCCGGCAGGTCAGGTAGTTTGGGTGCTATTTTTTCTGCTGCTCTAACACAGAGAGAGCCGCAACATCTGGCTTCAGCCACAGGCAGTTTTGAAGAGGGCAACCAGCCAGTACGACAGCTGGTCTTGCTCATTGTGCTCTGCAGATCGGGACTATTCACATTTCTGGGTGTGTTTTCATTCTCCCCTCTGAGCTGCTTCCCTTGGGAACTCACGCTTGCTTCGCTCCAGCCACCCTTGCTGACAGTGCTGGCTGCAGCAGCCTCTGTGGGATCAAAGCCCACAGACACAGCTCCAAGGGAACCCGGCCGTGATGCAGGGTCCCCAGGGTTCCCGCACAGGCACAGGGCCAAACCAAGGGAGCTATGAGGTCTGTTGGAAAGCTCTGTGCTTAGGGGCAAGCTGCCAGCCTCCACCACACCAGGCAAGCCCGGCTCAGATGTCTGTCCTGCACCCTGTCCACCCATCCCACCATCCAGTGGGTTTGTCTGCTTGTATGGAGAGAGGCCACCACCCACCTCCAGCCGGGGCTTCTTTCCCACCTGGGTGCTCTGTCTGGAGGAGAGCTGGCGTTTCTTGGAGGTAGGCAGTGCTTCTGGAAGATGGCTGGTAGACCCAAGCACTTGCTGTTTATGAGGTTCAGATGAAGCAGCAGTTGCCTCTCTGACACGAGTAGCTTCTACGTGAGTCTCCCAGCCCAGGTCAGGAGCCAAGCCCAAATCTGTATCCCCCACCGCAGACTCCTCCGTGGTGCCACACGCAGCACAGACCCCTCTGGTGAGTCCTGCTCCAACAGGCAGCCCCAGAGAGCAGTTCTTCGACAAGCTCCCTCCTCTGGGATTATTGACCCTGTCCCCAGGCAGGCAAGGGGAACAGCCCTTGGTCTTCAGGCCGTGATCACACTCTGTATCAGTTAACAGCTCCACAGCACCCTGCTCAGGCTGCTCCCTTCTCTTTTCCAGGTCTGTTGTCAGCGCCTCAATCCCTCCAGTAACTTGTGCTTGAGGCGCTAAGTATTCATCTGTCAGGCAGGACCGAGGCACCCTGAGAAGAACCATCAGTTAATGCTCACTCTCTCTAGGCCTAGCAACACCCTTCCTCCAGTGACATGAAGCATTTTCTGCAGTGCAGGGTGTTCAAAGCCCTTGCTCAGGAAGCGGTAAGAAATTTTAGACTGGTGAGGCTCAGCAAACAGTGATACTGTTGCTGGCAGAGGAGACTGGCAGCACAAGGGATCTCTCAGCCTTCTCAACAGCCCAGGGCCTGGGCACAGCAGTGCTACAGAGCAGAGGGGTTTGCATCAGACGCAGAAGAGATGGGCTCAGCTGCCCTTCCTAGTTTAAGAGGCACTAGAAATCCATGGGGAGCTCCCTGAAGCAGAGAAGCCACAGAAACGCAAGAACATCTCCATGGCTTGTCTAAGCTCTGCCTGGCAGGTGCCAGGTTGGTCCTGCAGTCAGCCACAGCTCTCTGCAGAGGGCATGAGCTAGGGCCCGGTGCCACAGCTGCACAGAGACTCAGGTCCTGTTCCCCTGAGTGTGCTGTGCCGCACCATGCTGCTTTTCGGTTCCAGGATTTACCAGTTTGGCAAAGACTTACTTGGCTGGCTGCTCCACGAAGTTGTTGGTGAGCTGCAAGATGACATGATCCACAGGGGCGTACTGTGAGTCGTCCAGTGCAAACTGCTTGTGCTGGGGGCTCTGGAGGTGCTGGAAGGTGGCAAAGGCCCTTTTAGCAACACTTATCCTTTCACAGGGGGGAAATCTGCAGTAACAGCCACTTGCCACAGCCTAACAGGCTAGAGGGCAAACAGTCTTTTCACTAGATAGAGCCACTGTTTCGAAGCAGATTTGGGAAATACAGGCAATGCTGTGGTTGCCTACAGTGAGTATTCTGTTCCCATAGACACCTGCTGATGAGGAGGTTGTGTCTGTATCTAACAGCAGCCTACAGCTTTCCCCAGCAGCTAGTAAAAACGCAGAATCCAAATAAGTACTGTCTATCACTAAAGGCTGGGCTCTGAAAGCCACACTGGCATCTTACAGGAGATAAAAAAACCTCTTCCCACCTTTTTATCAGCCTGTGGCCCCTGACTACCATGGAACAGGCTTCCCACCTTACAGATCAGGTGAGGGGATGATCCTTGAGGCTCTCCTAGCCCCAGAGATGAGCGTGTCATGCTCGAATCTTCAAAACCATTGTTTGCACAAACCAGGTAGTCAGAGCACAGATACACTACAGCATTCATCTATGAGGCTGATCCTATGAGGTACCACAAAGGCTGTATGTATAGCAGTCTGCCTTCCTTCCAGAAGGATATAGTGGTAACAGGCACATCACGATAACCAAGCTGCTGAGTGGGGCCCTGTAACTTCTGCAAGGAACCAGGTCCCAGGGGAGCCTTTACCTTCTGCAGCTCTTCAAAGGTCTCTTGGCAGCACTCACAAAATCCCCTCTTTTTCTTTGGCACAGTGACCGGTGTGGATCGGGGGCTCTTCTCCCCCTCGCTGCGCACTGGACAGCCCTCCACACCCCTGCAAGGTAACAGCAAAGATCTTCCCTGCCCTCATCTGACAGCATCGGCAGGTACCCAGCTGCTGACATAAGGAGCAGGGAGGCAGTGCTGCCTTTTATATCTACAGCTGTTTAAACCAGAACAGGGCTCCTTTCACCCACATCCAGAAGGCAAGGGATTCTTTAAATCCCAGGAACCAGCCGGGCAGCTGTTAGCAGAGGAGTTGGGTTAAAAACTTGCACAGGAGGAGCTACAACCTACCTGGTTCTGCATGAATTTGAGAGGCTTTTCAGGGGCTCAAATGGGCTGGAGCTTTTGGGTGCGAGGAAATTCAGGTCGGGAAAGCTTTTGAACTGGTGATGGAAGGGTCGGAATTGCCTGAAAGCAGCAGATCAGGACATCAGACTTCTGGCAGTGATAGCATGGTTAGAGAGCTGTCCCTCCCTCAGAGCGGCTCATTTATGATGGCATACTGGCCATCACTGTCCTTTCATTTGTCTGTTCCAAAGATTTCCCATTTCTCACTGGAAGTACTAAACCCAATTCCCAGTAACAGCACTTGGGGGGGTGCGCAGGGGATGTTTCAGACAGAAGGCAGGCTTGCCTGCTCAGCTAAAAACCCACCTTCTGCCCCCAGGGCACAGCAGCAGCATCCAGTGCAGTATTTTCAGCTACACAGCAGCATGGGAAGGTTTGGTTCCCAGAAAACATATCTCTCTTCACAATTTATTGCATGCAGCATGTAAACCCTAATATTTGACTCTGCAGCTGCCTTAAATGTTGTCTTCAGAATAATTAATTAGCGCTCTGGATACCGTTAGAGTTACAGAGTTGTTAGAAACACCAGAGATCAGATCCCCTTGTGCTGGATGCTGTAATCAAGTTACAGGCCCTGACCTCATGTGTTTCAATCTCTTTCCTCATTTCAGAGGGCTCAAGCAGATTAAGTGACCTGCTGAGGATCACAAACAGAATCTGAACAAGGAAGCAAACTCTGTTGTCAAGTCTCATTTAACACCTTTTTCCCCGCTCCGACATATGAGCCACCTAGATTATTTCTCTATACTCCATTTGCCTCCCTCTAGGCGAGTGTCAACTTCCCAGTGTGTAACAGGGTCTTCAGAGAAGTCATGCTCTGCCTTGTGGAGAGAATATTCACTGCAGATAAAACCAGTAAAGGACACCTTCCCTGGGAGACCCTGAAGTTTTAAGGTATGATATTGAGAAAGACCTCATTTTACCTGCTCTGGTCTTCAACCTTCAGAAAAGGGGGCTTCAATTTTCCTGCGAGAAAGCAAGCTGGTTAGAAGTTGCCCTGTAGTAGGCCAAATTTCCTACTTATTAATTCCCCAGCAGAACTGGGCTACAGAGCCAGGCTCATCAGTACTTCTGACACCCATGAATGCCAAATGATGGCTACGCACATCCAAAACAGCTCCTTGAGCAATCTACAACCCCCAGCCTGCCTCCAGAGTATTCAGTAGAGTGACTAAACCCTAGAGGTTGCCCAACCATGGAACATTTCCACCTTTGAAAGAACATCCAGGTAAGCCCCTTGCATCTTTAATGTCTGCTCAGTCTTATCAGCCAGTGACTTAACCCCAAGTCTCCAATTCCAATTCCAATCCTAAAAACTGTCACACATCCTCAAAGCAACATGCCGGCAAGCACGAGAGATGAGTTTATAAGAAACAAGCACCGAGCTCTGCATCAACCCTTCCAGCACCTTTTTCTCCCTCTACCTTTACACAACAGCCCAGAGTTGAGAACAGCCCAGGCCAGGATGGTTAAGTCAAAGCAGTAAGAGCTGCTGGAGCCAAACCAACATGCTGCATAGCCAAGCCTGGAACACTAAAGAGCAGTATCTGGCCTTTGCTTGGTCCCTGGGGGCAAATAGTAGCTATGCTTCCTCCAGAGGCATAATATATATTAAAGGAGCAGAAGAAAGCCTCAGCAGTACATTCAGGGAAAAGGTTTTCAGATCCAGGCTGGGAGAAGAGGCTACCAGGTCCCTCTTGTCTCACAGGTATGTTCAACTCAAGTGATAACTTTACACTCGGCCTGGAAATAGTAGTACAGATCAGGTTAAGAAAAAATGAACACCCAGGTATTCCCACAGGGCACCTGCCTGAACCTGAAACAAAGCCTCTTGTTTCTCCTTTATTGCCTCTGAAGGGTGAGGTGTTTTTTTTCTTGTGATCTTGGCACTCAATGCTATTTTCTCCAAAGAAAATTTAACTTCATCCTCCAGAAAGGTTGGTTGAGGCCACCTGTCCTTACCAGTTAGTACCTCGAGCCTCATCCTGAGCTTGCATCAAATGTGCTTTCCTGTCACTAAAATAGCTATTTAAGTACAGGATCAATTTTTCCACGTAAATGCTGCCAAACGCTTAGCACTTCTGAAAGCAAGACCATGTTTAGGGCCCTGGATAAAACTCAGACTGGTGCGCAGGTCCTGAGCTCTCAAGGCAGAGTGCTGAACAGTGACAAATGGTTCAGCTGTCACAAGTCTCCAGGCAGGTTTCAGAGCATGCCACAATGAAGAGCTCTGAGCCTGCAGCAGACAATCTGCCTTATCCAACAGCTTTTTGAGCCTTTTTTCACCACCTTTCCCCCTCCCCAAACTGGAAAATAATCTTCAGAGTGCCACGCATATAATCCAGGTTGCAACCTGCTCTGAGATATTACAGAGCATTCACTCTCTGATGAGCAAGTGACTTACATCACTGGTGCCAATCTCAGTACCACAATTGGCTCTTGTCTAATTGCAGATGAGAACCTGTTTTTCCCCCCCCTCCTGCCTCCTTTGGAAGTGTTATCCCTAGACTGGTGTCTCAGCAGTACATTTCAGCCTAACAGAAGTGAGTGGGTTGTGAGGAACACGCTCTCCTCTGTAGGATGCATTATTCTTCAAAACTTTGTTTGAGCCAGTGGATTTGGTGTGCAGTGCCAGCAGCACAGTTCTCAGGTGACTCAGGATTCTGGGAGCTGCGCTGCAAGCATTGTATGGGATCTTTAAAAACACTGCCTGAAATCAAAGGGATAACATCCTCAGCTGTATTAGGAGGCTGCCGCTAGACTCAGACAAGGAGTGAAAAACCCATTCAAGAGAAAGTGCCTTAACAGTTGGCATATTTTCTATTGCTGAAGTCTCAGATGGATTTTCAAGTTTTAAATGAGGCTTCTTCAAGCAGCTCTGCATCTGAGTGTAGAAAGAAGCACAACTTCCAGGCCTACCTTTGCGAATTTTTGATCCAGATGCAAGGCATTTTGCCTAAAGGAAAGAGTGACATATTTAGTATGGGAGCCAGCAAAGGCAGAACTATAATTACTGATCCCAGAGCAGCAAACTGAGATTACAGCAGTCTCACCCATCACTTCAAAGCTCCTGCATCAGAGACTCCTATCATCACCTCCCCCTAATATTTTGTCTCCCAAATTACATAGATTTAATTTAAATACAATATACAGGCTGCCACTCTCTGATCTTAGACCCTACCTTCTCACCGAGCTCCCCAGTGCATTAAAAAAATACTTCAGACAGCCAGTGTATTAGTCACACATGATCTGCATTTTACCTGTAGTCCCTTAAAGGTCAAAATCAGTATTAGCAGTGCTAGAGATAGCATTGATAACTAACAGCTGCCTCATTCTCATCTGGTTTTACCTCTACTTTATAAAAGGAAAAATTCTTTTGTCAGCTCCATCAATAAACAGAAGCACCAGATTGCCCAGTGTTGGATGGAAAGCTAGGAGATCACCCTGCGTACTAGGCCATTAGCACTAGAGGAGCTAGAAGGATTGCTTAGAGCTACTGAGGGATCCTGAGCACCCCGAATTGGCTGGAGTGAAGTCAGTTACCTCTATCTTCTGGCACCGTTTCCTTGCTCCTGAGATGGCATGCAGCAGCTGTTGAGTGTACGACAACATTTCTGTGCAGGTGGGATGTCAAAGAGCTCAACAAGAAAAGGTGAGCTGTTCCCCTGCACCAGCTGCAGCACAGGTGTAACTCCCCATCCACACCAGGGAAAAGCACAGAGCACCTGAGCCTGCCATCACCTGGCAGAGCACCACCACTACACAGCTAACTTGCCCAAGAGGAAGCCAAGAAAGAGTGCTTTGAGGGACAGCACCCATTTTGCTCTTCAGCAGAGCTGCAGGCTGACTTTAAGTCTCTGCAGAAACAAGACGCTGTTAGGAATTTTGCAGCATGCAGACCAGACCCTGGCACATGAAAGCCCTGACAGGCTTGCAACACTGCTGCGGTTCAGCAGGGCTGGCTGCTCAGGAACATGTACTAGCAGCAGCTGCCTCCATCACGCATCCAGACAAGCTCAGCCATGGCCGTATGTCACTGTCACAGGACACTCAGGAACCTTTTACTCCAGACCTATTATTAGAATCAGAGTTTCACCATCTGTCTTTCCCATCACCCCCTCCCCATTCATCACTGAGATGGGAAGTGCCTTCCAGCACAGATCCTCAAACATCAGCACTTCCTAATTAAAATCGACCAAATCCTGCCATTATCATTATCTGTACTTCCAGGTCAATTAGTAAAAATGGTCTTTTTGGAACAAATTAATGCACTGACCAAGCTATTAACACCTTCTAATATTACAACATACACAGTGTTTGCTCTTGTAAATGCGACAGTAGCATATTCTATGCATACAGGTTAATCTGGGTTTTGAAGGGCAGGCCTCGCTAGCCATGGCCAGGACGGCATCAGTCAAGCACTGGGTATTGCTTGCAATTTATTCCCTCTCCTGTACCACACTCGCTACATCACTTCTGCTCCACCTGTCTCAAAAATCACTAATTATTCAGCCTCCAGAGAAGGATACCATCCACGTGCAAGATCTGGACTCCCCACAGGCGAGCGTTGGCAAGGATACTGCTGCCACTGCAGGTGTCCTGTACAAACAGAGAGGTTTGGCAAGGTACAGCTCAAAGCAGAGATGGCTGTGTAAGCGCATGCAGCTCTAGATCTAGTTTAGAGAGATTTTCCTGTTGCCCAATCGACAGACCATTGCGTAGCTGTTATTAAAATGAGGGCACAGCAGAAATGGTTCGAACTCATGCTTTATATACCCCAAATTAACAGTAGCGTCCAGGTCAAATTTTTAATCCCTGCTATAGCATGAGCTTCTAAGTGGGCACTGAGATTCTTTTGGCCATTTCTGATATTAGTGAAAGGACTCCAGGGGAGCCTTTTGCCCCAGCTATGTGGCTTTAGCTCCTTCTAGGCTAAAAATTCATCTAACAATGGGTCTTCTGTTAATAATTCTCTTGTGTTTAGCATCCATAGTGTTTAGCACTGGGAAAGGCCTTAGAAAGTACTGACACAGACAGATGACATAGTTCCATGAAGAACAGTGCCCAGGAGCACCACACAATATTCTGCAGAGCCAGAAGCAACTACTTCATACCTTTACCAGCCCCAGATTCTGCTCCCTTCAGCAGGCAGGAGCTCTGGAGAAGCGGCTGGCACTGGTTCTGCACTGCTCAGCAGTACTTCGAATATACCCAGCTAGAAAAAAGCCCATCCACACACTGCTCACCTGATTCTTCATGGCCTTCTGCATCAGTTCCTTCCCCCTGCTGATCAGGGCCTGCAGAGAAATGAGCTGAGTACTACGTTAAAGCAAAGAGCTACCAGGCAGCGGCAAGCTGCGGACAGTGTGGCTGTCCAGTAAGAACGATTGCTAGTGATACTGGCTCTCTGCTGGGGAGGGGAGTCTGGCCAAGACTTCATCTCAAAGACAGCAGGGGCGAGCATTTCCAGAGAACACCAACTGCAGAGACACCCATTAGGTCTATGCTAAGCAGCTGTTTGGCCAAGGCTTGGCTTTTACTGAACAGCAGTGAATACTCCAGAATGAGCCAAGAGGAAGCAACAACTTCACTCGGAAACTCCATCTGCCACATCCCAACAGGCTGGCAGGGGTTAGGAACATCCTTGCTAACCCTTCCTGGGAACTGAGTCTCAGTTGCAAGCCAATGGTTTCAGCCAATAAGTTAAGGTCTTTGTAAGACAAACGGATAGCACTGTGAGCAAGGACAGGGGAACAAACACTGAGTCAAACCCCTGACACCAGCTCAGGCTTCCCAGTTGCAGGTGGTCCAGATCCAGCTGGCAGAGATGCCTGTGGCCTAGACTGGGCTGGTGGGCTCTCCCCACAGTCACAACTTCCAGCAGACACCAGTGTTCAATGCAGGACATTGGAGCTTCGGCCACAAGCACTACTGACCAGAAATCCCAGCCCCAGCAGGGTGAACAGGACCTAGAGAAATCTCTCCTTGTGAGCTGCCCTTGTAGATCTCCTCCCAGGTTGCAATGGCCTTGCCCTATCTGGGTCTGTGAGCAGACATCCAGAGCCTGCAGTGGTTTTATCTTGTCTACGTTTCTCTGGATTTTCTAGACACCTCTGAATCAGGATGATTGCCTATTCTATTAGAAAGCCAGCCAAGCCCTCTATTTCCTCTGCCATTGGAGCAGATATCCTTGTTTACTAGCTCAAAGCTGTGACATGCACATTTGAGCGGACAATGATGCACAGATGCAAGGAACACGGGTATAAATATGAACAGCCAGACCAAGGGAAAAAGAACCACAGCATGTTTGCTCAGGGCAGGAGCAACTTTATCTTCCAACACTGGTCTCAAGTTCTACTTTACAGATCCCTTGGGCCAAATTTTGAGGTGGCCTAAACCTTTATAACTCTTACAGTGTCTGGTGGCTTCTGGTGAGGTCTGCTATGGTTCCCTTTGGAGGTAGAAGGCACTGGGCTCATGGCTTTTGCATCTTCTGAAGTTACGTTGCTCCACTTCTTGGTCTGAGTCCTGGCTTTGTCTTGTTTAGCTTCTTTGTTGTTGGAAACCACATAGCTGACTTCTTTGCTTAGGAAGCTTTCGATCACCTGCAGCAAGAGACAGAACAGAGCAGCTCTGAAACTGTGCAACTCTGAGCTGAAAAAGTCCTGCTAAACAAGAACTACTGCCTTTAGCTTAACCCCACACACAGTTAAGGGGCTGCTGAAAGTATTCATCTCAACAAGTCTCTTCCATTCCTTACCACTGTCTCCCAGAGGGAGAGGGGATCCCATGATGCACAGAGAATGCGTGCCCTAGAGGTACACTGCAAATAATCACAAGAACCTTCAGACCGAGACTTCCATTATGCTGTCTACCATTATCTACTCTTCAAGCAGTGGTTTCAGAAAAAAGTCATAGCTGAGAAAAAGCCCCTGGACACCATGCATCAGTGTGCAAGAGTTGTTCTCAGGAAAACAGAGCACATTGTAGCAACATAAAGTAGAAAGTGAACAGCTGGGACAAGCAGCTGCACACAGAACGGGGCAGTAGGGAACCTGAAAGCCAGAACACACGCACACACCTTTGCACAGAATCTAGAAGTCCAAGGAAGAGGTGGAAACCCAAAATTTGGCATACCAACAGCAGGCTTATCAGAAACTCAGCAGAAGACAGAGAGTCATGGGACACTAAGGCACAGGTATGAAGCCCACAGGAAGAGAAAGATCTGAGCAGTCTGAATCACGGTTGCAGAACAAGCTGGTTCTGCTGCGTTACAGATCCCTGTGGATTGAGATCCCGGACTCACCTGTGTGAAGTGCCACAAGTGACACTGCAAGCTGCCCTGCAACGGAGACTTGTGTTACAGGAGATCAGGGGGACTGCAAGCACAGGAGAGAGTAAATCAAAATCTCACTGTCCAAATAACGCTCCAGGATTTTACCACCTCTACATCAAGGCTAAGTTCAAGACGCCACATTCAAGTCCAAGGCCATAAGATGCCTTTAACTTGGTTCTGAACAACAGGTAAGACCTGGATTTGGATATTACTATTGAAGAGCTGTTTTACAGATGGTGGCCATGGTGTAGTTAAATTCAGTATCTCCACAGAAGCAAGAGGAATGAGAACTCCACTCCCAGTGGACTGCATTTCAGAGCGGGAAGTGACCTGAGGTGATGTTTGATAAGAAACTAGAGGGACAGTCAAAAGGCTAAAACTATTTCTAAGCAATGTGGCAGCTAAGTTGGGAGCAAGCGGTTCTCCAACTTGAAGATGTACAGCTAAATAAAAGATGCTACAAGGAGAGTGTCCCTGAGTGTTGATGGTACATCCAGGGGAAGATAGAAAGAAATCATCAAGTTCAGCACGAAAGTGTGATTAAAAAACAGGGAAAAACATGCAAGCCAGCTTCCCTCGTGTGTCTAGAGCCAACACGTGCTCCTGGCAGCAGAGATCCAGCAGTAAGAACTAAATGAAGACTTCACAGCTGTGTGTAGCATTGAAGGATTTAAGGAAGTTTTGGGGTGCGCATGAGAAATCTGCCTCAAAGAGAGAGATTAAACAGTCTGAAAACAAACAGTAACAACTATTAGGACCAAACTGTGCTTAAGAATCATATGGAAACTGAAAGAGAAAACAGATGCATGACCAGCTGCTGGGTACAACCCCTGTCCTCAGTTCCAGCCCAGGTGACTGAAGTGATGATACTTTTCAAAGAGTCTTGGGAGAGGATATAAGGAATTGCTGAGCAATATCAGCACCAAGGAAACCTGCAGAGGCCATGACAAATGCTTTATGGATCCACCCAAACAATAACTTCACAGGGGGAAGGGTCTAGATGGCTCTTCTGGGAAAGCCATGAGAAAAGCACACAGCTACATGACAAAAGAGACTTGGCTGGTGTTATCCTACTTTACCTTATGTTGAATTCCTGGAAACATCTGGAAGTCTCACAACTTCCTTAAAAAAATTAAGCTTCCACAGACTGTTGTGAGGGATGAGGGGGAACAAGGCAACCTGTTACCACCACCCAAAAGGTGCTCCCCAGGGCCAGAGAACCAGTTATCACCAACTGGAAGACACTCCCATCACCAGGTAACCAGTTAGTACCTACCAGAAAGCACTCCCCTCACCATATAACCAGTTACCACCACCTGGGAGGTGCCTGCATGTCCAGGCAACCAGTTGCCACCTACTGAAAGGTGCTCCTAGGACCAAGGAACCAGTTACCCGCGACTAAAAGGCACTTTCATTACCACGGAACTCGTTACCACCATCTGGAATGCACTCCCACTGCTAGACAACCGGTTACCACCATCCAGAAGATGCTGCCAGGACCAGGCAACCGGCTGCCACCGCCTGGAAGGCAGGAGCAATGAGTTTTCGTGGCAGCTGGTCACAAGCAGGCCCACGCTGCCCAGCAAACCCGTGAGAGGTCCGGAAAGAATCAGCAGCGAGGAGAAAGGCAGCAGGCGATGGAGCGCGGCCTCCTTCCCCTCCGGCTGCGAGGCGAGGCCAGGCCGGGCGCCCACCGGGGAGCCGTGCGGTTACATTGCAACCGGGAGCAACTGAGAAAGTAAGGAAACCGTTAATAAAAAAAAAAAAAAAAGAAAAGAGCTGATAGAAGAATGGAGCAAGAACGGAGATGGGGCCGCCTCACCCCCCCATCATCCGAGGGGAGGCCCCGGGAGCCGCCGCGGCCGCTCACCCCGCCGAGGCGCCGGACGGTCTCCGCCAGCTCCCGCGCACTCCGCCCGCTCGGCAGATCGAGGTAGAAGGACTTTCCGCGGAGCGGCCGAGGGGTGGCCGGGCCCGCCATGCCGGCCTGACGGGGAAGCGCCGCCGCCGCCGCCATTTAAATTCCCGCCCCGCCCCTCACGGCGGCCGCGCAGGGTCGCGCCGCTCCGCTCCCAGCCGGGGCGGCACGGCGCGGCACGGCACGGCACGGCGCGGCACGGCACGGCACGGTTCGCCGCTCCCGAGGAGAAGGATGCGGAGCGGGCACCGCCGAGCCGCCCCACCGGGCACGGCCGCTCCCCGCCCGCGGTGACCCGTTCCGCGCTCCCGCCGCTGCCACAAGTTTGGGCTCCGCGGCTACCGTCGTCCCCCTCCCCGCTCGCTTCCCCCCCCCCCCACTCCCCCCGCCGGCGCATGCGCGGCGGCGCGGCTCCAAGATGGCGGCGCCCGGTGGGGCGGTGGCGGAGGGCGGTGGTTTTGCGGCCTGGTTGGCGGCGCGGCTGGAGGCGCTGGGCCTTGACCGCGCCGTTTACGGTGCCTACATCCAGGGGCTGCTCCGCGAGGAGGAGAGCGACGAGGAGCGGCTGGAGGCGCTGCGCGGCGTCCTGGCCGCCTGCCTGGTGAGGGACGGCGCGGGGGTTCCTCGGCGGCGGCCGGGCCGGGCGGAACGAGCCGCCCCGGGGGGGTCCCGCCACCCGGTCCGTGCTCCTCAGCTTTCTTTTTTTCCCCGCTGAGACCCTCGTATGCGCCCAGGATGCGCCCTGGGGACTGGCGTGGAGATCCACGCGGGACACGCGGGTGTAGCTGTCCTGAAGCCGTGGGGTGGACAACCGCCTTCCCCAGGGGCTCCTCGACATCTCGAGGGGGGGCGTTTCTGGGGGCGTTTCAGGTGTTTGGGGTTTTTTGTTGGGGAGGTCGGTTTGGGCCAGATGGGAAACTTCGGTGGCCGCTGTGGAGCGGGAAGAAAAGGGTCACTTTTTTTTTATTTTTGCGTGGAGGACACAGGGCTTAGCCTCAGAGCTTGGGTCGCTCCCTAGTAGCGCTTGAGTGAGCTTTAAGGGGTGATTTTTAATGACAGACCGTTTCGAGTGGCCCAGCCAGAGCTGTGCGAGGTGGCTGTTGTTCCTCACCGCGCCGTGGTGTCTGCGGGGCCGCAGCTGCAGTCCCGCTCCCACCCGGGACAGACACGAGCTGCCACGCGTGGGCACAGGCCGTTGCTCTTGGGGGTGGGCAGCACTCGCCTCTTCCTCTGCCAGATTCCGAGAAAAACTTAGGAGACTGCAGGAAAGAGTTTCTCATCAATAGTCGTCTCCTTTGGGGGCTGTAGGATTTTTACAGTAGCCGCATCGCAGGATGTTGCATAAATGGATGTTTTGTAGTGTCAAATGTTAAATAGCGAGTGTGTGCTGCTATGGAATAAGTCTGCTCAATGGCTGTCGCTGATTTCCTCCCAAAATGTCTGTGCAGAAGCACAAAACAAAAAGGGACTTGGTCACTACAATCAGCTTTTGGTTATTACAGGTAACTAGATCATGTCATTCCTTCCGTTAACCATCTGCATGCCATTTTAAATAGGTTTTCCTAAAAGACAGAGCACCTCTTCACTGCCTTCCACCATCCCTTCCCCACCCTGGAGCACCAGCAGTAAGGTAGTTTCTAAAAGAAGTGTAACTGTGCCAGTGTAGCTTTGTGCCTAAAATGATAGGAGAAGCAAAGAGTGCATCGTGCTGGCATTAAGAGCAGAGCCAAATGGCTTTGGAAAATGCTGTTCTAAAACCGCTGAGGTTAATTAACTTGCCTGTAATTACCAGACTTGCTTCATTTCCCTACCAGAGGCAGAGCCTGGCCGGGCCTCACGTTTCACTGTGCGTGTTCTGTCTGAGCTCTGGAGGTGCGGAGCGTGGTGGCTGTCCCTTGCCCCACAGTGGCATTAACGTTCTGATATTTCCCCTTTTCTCTTTAGCACTGAGGTGCCCTTCTCTTGCACTGCCACCCTGGTTTGAGAACTGGTGCGGGGTTTTCATGTTCATTGAGCTTTGGGCTGTTTCTAATCCTGTATGTGTTGCACTGCAGCCCCGTTTCTTATCTTTGTTTTCTTCTCTGTGACACAATTGCAGCTGACTTTTGCTTCATTTCCAGTTTCGACCTCAGTTGGATTTTTCTGCAAATCTTGTAAAACATTTCTGTCTCTTGAACCCTCACATTTTTTAATTACCTTTTTTAGTTGTTATGGTGTTTTTCCTTTATTTGTAGACTCTGGCCTTATTTGTGTATTGACTTTTGAAAAAATCTTATTAATTTGGGGCCTTTCTTGCCAAGTCTTTTATTGTTGTTCTGTACACAAATTCCAGGTAATTGTTTGTTTGGTTTTGACAACTCTCATGAAAATAGATTTGAGGGGACCTCTGCACTCGTGTCCATGGTTCCTTAGTCATGCATTAGTTCCCAGGGTTTATTAAGATCTAACAATTTCAAATTCAGAAACTTAGAACCGAGATCTGTTTCTGTTTAGTTCTTTAAACCAGATAGAATCCAGCTCACTTGTATTTTTCATAGTTACTTTTTCTCTGTATTTACTAACCTCTAAAACAATATAATTTCTTGTTTGTTTGGGGATTACTAGTTGAAAATATTTGGCGGTTGCACCCTCAGCTCTCTGAAGTCCACCACTATTAGTAGTGGTTGCTCTTACACGTGGGGAGCGAGTCTCCCGGCGGCACAGAAGTCAGTGCTGTGTTAGATGTCTCCGTCCAGAGCGCAGTGAGATGGAAAGGTGCTGCAGCAAACGGCCTGCGCTGCCCGAAAGAACTTCTTTGCTCTTCCCATAATGGTTTAGTTTCACCCAGGCTGCCCCATCGCGTTTCTTTTCTGTTGCTTCATTTGTGTTCATTCACACGCTGTTATTTTGGTCTTTCATTTCTTCCTTTCTCTAGTTTCCTTTCACCAAGGCTGTTTTTTCATCACTTCTGGGATTGCTAAAATGTCTCACTTTTGTGTTCTCCCCTCACAGGCCTGCCTCCACCGCTACACAATTAGACATATTGCTCAAACTGTTATTAGAAGGTTGCACAGATTTCTGCCATCGTTAGTCTTCTGCCGTTCATTTTCCTTCCCACTTGCCGCTGTTCCTTTATCACTTGCCTGACTTTCTTCCTCCTGCATACTGAAACCAGGGAATATGTCTTTCCCAACCCTCTCTCCTGGCTTTATATAAAGTTGATTATAGTTTTGCCAGCCTTGATTCCAGTGGGCCAGTATTCCCCACACTCGGGGAGCCCGTCCATTGAGGGCTTTTATTATGAGTGTTTCTGACACTTAAAAGCCTTCATGTCTTCCCTGTCCTTCAACTGTGCTGGTTTTTGTTATCTTTTCATGACTTACTGTGTGTCTAAGGGCTGGAAGGGTCCCTCTGCCACTTGAAATGGTGTTTCTGTGCACATCATCCTTGTTGCTGGTCTGCTCGTCCAGCATGTGTTCCTGTGAGGATTTGTCATTTCCTGGTGGGAGTGGGGTCAGTGGGTTCTTCCAGACCTCGACCATCCGTTCTTATACCCGATTTTAGCAGATTAGGCATCATCCTGTCCTCTGCATCTGCTCTCATTAAAGGCATGTTGGCTTCTTAAAATGGAGTCTGATGTTGGTGGGAACCACCAACCCTTTGTCCTTCTGCCGTCTCTCTGCAGATCACCTCAAATATCCCACGTATTTGTCCTTGTAGTGTCTCCCCCCCAACCCGGGGACCTGTGTACGGCCCTGAGCCGTGCTCACTATGTTGGTGCTCAGCTGCTTTCTGCGCTTTTGTGTGTCGGTTCTGTCATCTGCCTGTTACAAGCAGAATTTTGTGCTTAGCTGTTGTAGGCTTGGGGTGGGAGGACTTCATTCTGAGTTGCTCTTTATTTGTATTGGAGCAAAAGGTGGAGAGATTTTTGTGTATGTTTTTATCTCCTCGTCTGCCCCAGAGTTGTGGAGAACTCAACCATTTTTTTGCTGTCCCCCATGCAGGTGAGATTTGCTCTGCTGGGTGGGTGATGTTCTCAGTGACAGTCTGTCCTGGAACTTGAAGGTGTTTTTTATAGGTATCTGGTGTTCAAGTTTTCAAGATCGTCAACTCTAATGTCTTTTTGGTGGGAAGTCTGTGTGCAGGGGTTTGGTGTGCTTATCTTTGAAATGACAATTACTGCACAGCGGGCTGTGAAAAGTGGGGAAAGGGGCAGATGGTGAAGAGCTGGTTCCTACACACCTATAAAAGCAATTATTTTCTAGGCAGAGTTTGTCAGGTTTTCCTCCTCTCAGAGCTAGCTTTCGGCATAGGCAGGGTAGGCAATGGTCAGGGCTGGCAGAACAGCCCCAGTAAGAGGTCACCGTTGCTTTGCTGCTGGATTTGTCCCTGTTTGAGTGCAGTGCTGCTGCCCCGAGAGAGCAGGATGGCCGTGAGGATATTCAGGCAGTGCCTGGGTCTAGCCCCAGCATTAACAGCTGCAGTGCACCGGCCTGACCTGCCAAGGTGCAGGGGAAGGGGATGTCTTGATCCCAGCTGGCTCATTCCTGATGTGTCCCTGGCCAGCTAGTTTCTGTTTGATATCAGCTCTCCTCAAGCCCCTCTGCTGCTGTTTTTTTCTAAGCTGCGGGCAAACCCCATTTAGTGTTAATGAGCAAAAAAAATAAAAAAAATACTTAAACTCCCTGCCTGTGTGCTTTTCCCGATGAAGTGCTCCTGGCTGTAACTCTTCAAAACACTTCTTTTTTTTGTCAGGATCATGCTTTTTGCCTGGATTCAGCTTCTGTAACCTGAACTCACATATTGGGCAATTCTTGCAGAAACGCTGTGACCACATCTACTGCGATGTGGTGGAGTAGTGTGTCACCTGTCTACTGCTGGAACTTGAATTATGGTGTTGGTCAGTCCCGAGAAGCTAGTTGTGGTGGAGCTCTGCAAGCGAAGGATCTGGTGATGGGAATACCATCCTGGTGCTGTTCGGGTGCATTTCCTTTCTTCCTGCAGTAATAAACAGTGGTGTGCATGCGTTCCGTTGCCACCTCTAGCTTGTGTTTAATGCTCCTTGCAGGTCAAGGGGGACAAGAATATCTCTGCTGGTGGGAGGAGATGGTCTGTGGGTACCACCAAAGTGGTTTCAGCTCTGTACTGGCCCTCACACCCGTGTTTTATCCAGTCTAAATTATTTACTTTAGCGAGATTGGCTTGGAGGTGGCTTTTAAGTAGCTTCTCTGTAGCCTTGCTCAAGAAGGGAGATGATGCTGGGCAGTAGATTTCCTACACTGAAGATACCCTGGTGGCCTTTCTTCGGTGTTTGTAAGGCTGTTGCACCTAGAAAGCCAGCTGCTAGTTGCGTGAGAAGTAAACAGCCGTGGTGATACGGCATCGCCTGGCGTGGTGCAGAGCTGTTGGGTGGCAGGCTTGACACCTTGTGTTTGCCTCGTGGATCGAGGCATTCATGCTCTAGTCCCTGGGCTGTGTCAGCAAGTGCGTGCATCGCATGACTTGTATCGTCCCAGGGTAACAAAAGTTCTGTGTTTATTTAATGAGTAGATTTCTTGTGAAAAGCTGTATCGCTTGAGCTTATTGCTGGGTGTCCAGATTCTTTGGAGCTGGTGCTTTTCTTACCTGATTCGTGCTTGTTTAAAGCAGACCGACTTTGTTCCAAGACTGAGAAGTCTCTTTTCCCTTACTAGGAAGAAGATCTCTTAAACGATGTTTGCAGGGAAGTAGTCGAGAAGTGGTCTGAATCTCAGATTGTTGACGCCAAAGAGAAAAAAGAAGGTAGTGTTGCTGCTCGGTCTGCCTTTCCTTGTGGTATGAGTAATTTGCAGGGTCTTACCAAGATGAGAACGGTGTGTTCATCCTGTTAGGAGATAAAACCAACGCTGCTAATATGTTTGCAGATCTGACTTGCTTCTTGTTGCCATTGCTGCTTATTTACTGTTTTGTTTTGAAATGTGAAATGAGTAGTTTCACTTTTGGCTGTCCCTGGCATTCTGCTGCTCTTTGGGTTCATAATGCAGAGGAAAAATTTTTTTTTTCCCCCCTCTTTTCTCTGTAGGATTTTTTTCAATTTCCTTTCATGAAACAGCTAGGGCTTTCTCTCCGTTCAGTGCTAGCAATGTAGCGATGGCAATTAGCACTGATGGTAGATGCAGTCATTGTGATATAATAGCAAATGCCCATGCTACTTCAGTTTATGCTCGTTTGGAAAGCAGGTGTTTTTATGCAGCTACAACTGCACCTATGGAGAGCTGTGCTGTCCCTTCTGCGGCTGCTCACCCCAGTACACATCAGGAAAGCATCCTTATTTTCCTCTTTCAAAATCTTCTCTTAAAACTGTCCTTTTTTTCCATAAATGCTCGTAGGGTGGGAAGCTCTGTGAGGCTGCTGCTGCTACACTAATGCTGCTCCTTTCCCAGTCCCCACTGTTTCTTTGTACCCTCTCTGAATTCATCCCTCGTCTTCAGCTGTCAGCTCGGGAGTGAAGACCTCTGTCTTGTTCATCGGGGAGGCTTGTTCTGGTCATTGAGCAGAGCTCTGGAGTACAATGAAGTCATATGCTGGAAAGATTTTGCTGGTTTAAGCATACTGCATGGATCAGTTGGTAACCTTCCAACCGCACAGACCTAACCATAGCCTGTGGCAATGTAACATCCCTTTGGGCTAAATCCTGCTTTTTGTTTGTTTTGCATTTTTTTGTTGGTTCTGGTTGCAAATGGAATATTGTCACTGATGGATGCTATTCTAGAAATAGTCCTCCCAGTGAGCCTTATTGTGAGGCCTGCGTTTCTATAGCGCTTTTCTTGTCTAAACCTCAGCATTTCACAAATATCGCTCACCTCTTCTTTATAGATGAGGCGGCTGAACCACACAGCAGTTCAGTGGCTTTCCCTGAAAATTCACTGAAGCTTGTCCTTTGCCTAACCTTGCCTTTGGCTGCAGACAGGGAGAAGTTATGCTATTCTGTGGATTAACTAAAATAAATCCCTCTTTTGGGAACAAGTGATTGGAATTGCTGGAAGCTGCTGCTGGACTCCTCCTGCTCATACTGCTGGTTACCTGCGGGGATTTTTCTTACTTGTCACAGAAGGGAGGTAGCAGTATATGTCTAGGTTCTTAGAAGTGCAAGGATTTCATTATTTCACTGTGGTTCCGTAAAAGGGTAAATCCCCAGTGAAGTCAGTATCTACTTAGAATAAAAAAATCCTGAGGATAAGTTATTAACAAACTAGAAAAGATTTGGTGTCAAAACCAAAATGTCATTTTAAGAAATGGGCAGCAGAACTTCAATGTTAAAAGATAAATTAGTTGTTTGTTACCTTAGAAAAGAAAGAGTATTAAACTGACCAGTCATTTCAGGTATTCAGAATTTCTATTTGATGTGGTTTTCAGTACACAGGTAAATAAACATATTTAGCTGCTTTTAACCAGAAGAGAATGCAATTTGGAGTAAAATGGATTTTCATTAGCAAGAGTCTTACTGATTTAAAAGTTTCATTGTGAAACTTCCCTTGCTCCAGGAAAAATAGTGTCTGATCGTGGCTGTGCACAGCACGGGGGAATTCCTCCTCGGGAGGAGAAGCTGGTGCCACATCACCGCAGCAGACGCCGCGCTGGCCTGAGCCATCTCCTCGGTGGCTCCCCTGCAGCTCCCGCTCTCAAATCTGAGACTGAATTCCCCAGAATGGCTCTTGGCATTGACAGCACCACTAGTGACCTTGAGAGAAGCTCGTGGGAGGAGGGTGGGGGATATTTTTGGGTGAGACTTCTCCCTTTAGCTCGGTGCATTGTCCCCAGAGACAGCTGCCTCCCTGCAGGCGTGACACAGGCAGTGACAGTGGGACGGTGCCTTTTGGGCGCTGCAGATGTAGGAAGCCGTGGCCTGTGGCATCTCTCGGCCGTGTCTGCAGGGCCTGACTGATGCTCTGACCCTTCTCCCGGCCAGATGAGATCCAGGCCATTGCCAGCATGATGGAGAAGCAGGCCAAGATTGTGGTGAAACCAAAGGAGGTCTCCCAGGAAGAGAAGCAAAGGAAAGCTGCCCTCCTGGCCCAGTATGCCAATGTGACGGATGAGGAGGAATATCCTTTTCCTGACCCAGTCAAGACTTGGTGCTTTGAAGGACAATGTTTATTAAAAATCTCCTGAAATAAAGCCTTTGCAGTGTCTAGTGGGGAGAAGTGGGGAAAGTTAAATTTTCCTTCTCCATGATAGAGTAAGTTCCATGGGGAAAAAAGCATGCAAGCTCCTGGTTTGTGAAGTGCCACGAGCAGGCAGTATGAGTATGCTTCTCCTCCATTTCCACACTCCCCACCAACATGTGCTCGGCTGGGTAAGGTTTGCCCAGTCCGGGTGTGCTGCAGAAGGGGAGTGAATCACCTCCTGGTAACTCTGTGCATGGTAGTTCGTGTATTGAATTTATCACTTGCTTTCTGATGATTTGCTTTCAGTTGAAAAGGTCCTCTAGAGAGAGTATGTGTAGAGTGGGAGAGTTTAAAGTTCTCTTTGTAGTGCTGAAGAATAAGTTTTTCCTTGAAGAGCAAAGTTGAATAGGAGGGAATTGTCCCTGGCACTCAAGCAGCAGGAGGGAGCTGAACGCGGGGGTTTGTGCTTGCCTGGTCCTTGATTGCATTAATTTTTAGCTGCTGCTTTGTGGCTTGATAAAACTGTAATTTGACATGTTTTGAGTTAAGTGTGACTGTATAGAGGCACAAGTTCATTGCTGATGTCCATATTTCCTTAATTATCTCACTGGTGAGGATGAACAGAATGGATCGATTGCGACAGCAGTAAATATTGGATCAGAAAAATGTATCCTTTGAATTCTCAATGACCCAGGCTTTTTGGAAGGAAGGCAGCTTCTGTGGTGAGTTTCCCATCCTTCCTTATCTGTGTTGATACTTTTTGTTTCTTTAGGGCTACCTTTTAAGTTTGGTGATTCATTTTTCTTTCCATGTAGCCTGACCTTGCCCCTAATGAAATTTAGAGGTCCATCTGCTCCCTGCCCTTTGTGCACAGCTGAGACTGATCCTGTCATTCTCTTTTCTCTCCTCTATTCCTTCCTTCTCTCTTCTACCCCCTCTGAAGCTTCACAGAACATGCTTATTAATAATTCTCCCAGAACATCAGCTTAATGTTAACCGGTGTCCAGAGAGGTAAATTGTGTCAGGAATTATTAAAAGTGCAACAGAAACAAAATTACTGTGAGACTGGTGAGGCTGTGGTGCAGCTGAGCTTTAATGGTGAACAGGGACGAAGTATCCCATGCTTTTCTCAACACATTCCTCGAGCACACCAGCTGGCAGGTTGAAGATGGAAGCAGGTTTTATCACATAATTAAGAAGTAAAACCTAATTTATTATTTCTGGTACATTGCTGATGGTTAAGAGGAAGAGGCAGCGGAGACCCCCACTCGCTCTTACTCGTGCTCTTCCCAAAGCATTTGCCACCACTCGCTGTGGGAGGGAGGACACGAGGCCGTGGGCGTCCCTGGTGTGAGCTGCCTCTGCTGTTCCCACATCGGCCGCCTTCCTGCGTGGCCGGTGGGATGGGCAGAGCTGCCCCAGTTCGCTGGGACTGGCTGGGACGCCTCGCGCCCGCCGGCCGTTGGCTCCCTGCCTACGGTGTCTGCAGGGGCACGTGCACGTACCTTGTGTAAAGCATACGTGTCCAGTGCATGGCTCTAGCGAATCCACTAGAGGAAGCTGTCCCCTATGTGTTCCTTTCCTTCCTCGTAAGTCTGTAGAGGTTTTACAAACTTTTTTACATATCAGTCTTATGAACCTGTAGGCAACCTGATTTTTCTAGGAAAAAGGCCTTTTCTAGGGAACATGCATTTACTCTACGTGGCTCTTCTATTTGGGGAAAAAAAGCAGAGATTCCTTTTTCTTTCCCCATTCCTCATTCCCAAATTCCTTACATGCTTGGTGAGGAAGCAGAAGTGGAAATCAGAAAGTGAAGGTAGAATAAACCAGCCCGGGTGCTAAAGCCAGTCGAGCTCTGAAATACGGCTGCAGAGCGGAAGCGTTGTCTGCCCTTAACGCATCGCCAGCGCTGTTCCGAAACACAAACGTGGAGGATGTTTTGAATGCCAGGAAGCTGGAACGGGAGCTGCTGCGAGATGAGTTCCAGAAAAAAAAAGAGCAAGATAAACTCCAGCGAGAAAAGGATAAGCTAGCCAAGCAGGAGCGGAAGGAGAAGGAGAAGAAAAGGACACAGAAAGGCGAGCGGAAGCGATAGCTGGGGGTTTCCAGTTGGACTCTCAAGGGATAAAATTAATTACGAATATGATGTGTGTTTAAAAAGCAGCAGAAATTCTGGGCACATGGCTGGCAAGTGGTTCTTTGGAAGCATTTCCTCTTTTTCTTTTTTTTTTTTTTTTTTTTAAATTAATATAGCAGAAAAGAAATTTCAAACACCTGTTAAACTCGAAGTGTGCCATGTGCTTGTGGTGTCAGATGTCCCAGTCAGTTATTGTGGCCAATGTCTGTACCAAAGAACGGTGAAGTGATTATGTCCGTGTTTTTAAATTGTTTTGAGTTTTATTTCTAACCACTTAAAGCAAAGCAAAATGAGCTGTAGCAGAGGGCTTGTGAGCTGGCTGCGTCCGCCTGCTGGCCTTGGTTTGCAGCAACAGCATGTTACAATTTGAGAACAGAGCAGAGCCCCTTTCTGACATGTAATTAAGGACATGCTGCTACAGGGTGAATGTGAATTTATTTAACACTAGCCTTGAAAAATGTATTTGCAAATACATGTATTTATGCTGCCAAGAACAACACTACGTCTTCGTTCTGGCTGAGCTGAGAGCATGGTTTGGAGCTGACCTCAGCGAGGGCAAGTGCTGTTTTGCAGCAAGAAAAAGGAAATGTTATGAAATATATATGAGTTGCAGCTACGAGACTGCATCACCCACAGGCTCTGGGTAAGGTAAATGCTGCTCTGATTTGAGCATCAGCCACAGCAGTAGCAAATCGGTTGAGTCCTTACGCTATTTTAAGGCTTCATGCCAGTAGCTGGAAAATGGTGCTCCCCGATGTTTCATGGGGGTGAACATCGACTTACTCTCCGGCGGTTGCCAGGGCGAATGCTTCACCGGTGGCTCAGCGCCGGGCGGCTGCGAGGGAGCTGGCAGCGCCGGGTGTACGAGCCCGTCGCTCGCACCGGGCACGGCTGCAGCGCGGAGCCGCCTCGGGGGGGGCTGGAACGCTTCTCTCGCCCCCGAAAGGGCTTGCTACCCGCTGTTCCCAGCCTTTTTTGTGCTGCTGTCACCTTCCTCTGGAGGGGACGATGCCGATTTCTGTCCACTGAGTGCGAAGGAGGAGCCGGTGGGCCTCACCCCTGCGCTCCAGCTGCGGGGGGTGCTCCTGGTGCTACCGGGCCCAGCGCCTGCTCTCCCCACCAGTCTAATGAAAGGTTCATGCCTCCTGTTTCACTAGCTGCTGCAAGTGTGAGTATCTAACTGCTTTATCTTTGGACTTGAATAATAAAACTGGTTGGCCAAGCAGCGGGTTCCTGTCTGAGTGACTGCCGGGGGCGGCGCGGTGGGGGGGTGCGGAGCCGCGGACGAACGACACGCCGAGACGGGTTCAGTGTGGGAGATAGAGCATCAATCAACGTGTGTCTTTATTGGTCCAGGGTACATATATTTATCCAGACAATGATAATTATTATGCCTACTAGTCACTAGCTGATTGGCTTAAGCTCTGAGGGTCGTATTTGCACGGTCCACCTACTTGCAGTTAGCTTACAGCACAAGCTTCTCATAACACTAAGTTTCTCATGCTACTATTTCTGATTCCTGTTGACTTGTTTTCGATACACGACCGTACCGTAACACAATGTTTCTCAGACCACCGTTATCATAACACTGAGTTTCTCAGACCACTATTCCTAATTCCCCTTAACCTGTTTTCGACACACCACGGTACACAGGGCTGAAGCGTCCTTGACATTCCTCCTGTATCAGCAGCTGCGAGCAGCTGCAGGCAAACCCTAGTGAGGCTCAGCATCAGCAGCTAGAGCAGGCTCTGATCATACAACTGCTCGGTGGGCTCAGGACCCTTGTCTCTGAGCCATTCTCCAACAGGGGGGCTCCCCTCCAGCCTGGCCTGTGTCCTTGCTTTCCCCTCGCCCAGCTGCCGTGTTTCTGAGGGCTCGCTGCTGTGGGGCAGTTCCTCCGTCCTCTCACACCTCGTGTCCCGAAGTGCGTCCCCTCCCCTCGCCTGCGGGGCCTTGCAGGGAAGGAACAAGCTGTGCTTGGCCCCAGAGCTCGTTTCTCAGCCCAGCCTGGGTGCTGTGCTGGGTCCTGGCTGCGGTGCCGTGTTTTGGGGTGGTTCATGCAGCTGCTGGGGCTGCAGCGGGGTGGGGAGGGGTGTCACGGCCCCAGCCCTGGGGCCCCACTCTCGCATTCTCCTGTGACCTGGAGCCCTTGGCACAGCCCTGGGGCTGTGGCTCAGCCCCCTGCCTGAAGCCACCCTGGCCACACGCAGGTCTGAGGAGGCTGCTGGGTGTCGGGGGTGATCTGCTGCTTCCCCTTGTACCACAGTTGCTCTGACACCGCCAGCCGCCCTCCCTTGTTGGCAGCAGCCTTGCTCTTTGCCCATGTCCCTAAGCTGGGCACCACGAGCTCTGGCACCTGGTGCTGAACCTCCCCAACGCTCTACTTCGAGCAGAAAGCGCTGGGCTGCAGCATCTGGAGACCTTGGGTTGCAAAGGTCCAAAGAGAAGAGCTTCCTTCACACCCTCACGCCAGGAACTGCTACTGAGCTCAAGAGCCAGTCGAAGAACAAAAGGCTGCTGGATGTGCCAAAATCTACAGATGCGCCAGGAGTCAGGATGGGTCTAAGGGTGCAGTCACAAGCGCTGCAGGGGCGCTCCTGCTCCCCGCTGGGTGCATCGCCGTGCAGGTACCGTCCATGCCCGGTGTGAGGTGGGGGCTGTGCTCCCCAGCTCAGAGGGGACAGGGACCCAGGCCCCGGGCAGGTGCAGCCCCACACCCAGCCCGCAGCACCTCCCCAAGGCAGCTCCTCCACTGCAGGTGCCGGAGCCTTGTTTAAATCAGGAGCAGGTGGAGCAGCAGCACAGACAGGGGTCAGCTGCCCCGCGGCCGTGAGCCAGCAGGGCTGATGCTCAGGGACAGGAGGTGTCAGTGGCCCCAGCGCCCGGGTGGCAGGAGGGGGAACAGAGGAGAGTGGCTCCGGCCAGACTCCGCAGGGTTCTCTCCAGCTACTGCAATGACCATGAACTTTCTGTAGCAGTACAGCGCCTGTAACTAACGCGATACTTGCAGGGGAAAAAAATCCACTGCCTCTGCTTCACTGCACTGATACAATTTTCCACTGGTTTGTCTAACGTTACAGCCATTTATCTCCCCAAGAGAGTAATTTCAGTATCAGGGTTGCTTTATATCTCTTAACATACTTCAATAACTAACTGAAAATTAGAGTCCCTGTTAACAGATCAAGTTGTAGGAGCTGAGGCTATGAAGACGATTGCAGAACAAATGTTCTCCAACAAAAGTTAATTTATTTCTTACCAGACAGACTAAAGTCAGTACAGTATTGCTTTTAACATCAACATGTCCTAGGTTAAACTTAACAAATCCCAGTGCCGTGACTTGTGGTACGAAGATGTGCTTTGTTCTCCTGCCCCGATAAACTTGCTCCGGCAGAGCTTTTGTCACTGCAGTGCTCGGAGCAGTTGCTCCGCTTTCTGCTGCATTCTCATTCGGTTTCTTTCTCACATCATCTAATAACAATTTATGTGGTGTGATCACACCTTTTGCATATCAGGATTTCCAGAAGTAGGAAGAACAGAGACATTTAAAATATCAGGGTATCTAGGCAAGGACAGCTGGATAAATTTAATCCACACATTATAAACACGATGCTGGAAGTGTTAAAACCGCGTATCTCCTGAGCCACATAATACCAACATTTTGTATCAGTGAATAAATTACTTATAATCCATACAGATTAAGATGCAGATAAACATTAAGTATTAATAGCTGTCAAAAATGCAGAGGTAAACTAATAACTCTAAAATAGGACAATCAAATTTCAAACCAAACAAGTGAAAGAGTAACCTAAATTTCAGAACATTGTTCTGAACTTTCAGAACTCTTCCAATTTTAAAGTTAAGGTATTAAAAACAATACTCATTATTTCAGCTGCCGCACAGCCTTCTGAAGGATAATCCTGCATGCATGTCATATTTTCATTATGTTTAAATACTTTAAAACAAAGGTTCTTTTTTTTTACCAAGAGCATGCCCAAATGATTTGAAAACATTTACTAAATTGCATGGTTTCACAACAGCAATTTTGTCATACCAGTAATTTAGTAGAACCCGGTGCATCTCCTTTCACAAACTTACATTTTAAAATCTCAAATTCATAAATATTTATATTTTAAATATTTAATTTTACATGAATATCGGGTATTCTTAGCATTTCTTCCTCCTGTTTCCAGGTTTTAGTTCAATAAGGAAACCATTTTCACATCACAATCTTATCTGATACTGACCAGACACCCTGTTAAACTACAGTCTTTAAGAATCATTATTTTAAAACCTATTTCCTAAAGCAAAACTAAAAGAAGTTATCGGAAGAGTGGTACACCAAGGTTCACCTGCAGAAGTTTAATTAATTAACAGCCAAGATATTATTTGTGTGATTATTTTTTAAGTTAACAATCACCAGTTTGGGTATATAATATTCTGATGCTGCCTGTCATGTTAACAGTTTAAGTAGAACCCAAGAGCCCTTAAAGCAAATTCAACTTCTCATCAAGATACAGCTTTAAATATGAATATTAGTAGTTCAAACTTTACAATTAATTAAAAAGAATTAGTGTATCATCACTCACACATACACACTGCAGCGTGTACTTCCGCATGCAACTGGTATTTTGTTAGTGCTTGCTTACTTCAGCCCTCTGATTTAGGACGCTGCTGCTGTTTGTATTTTCACACACCTTTTCTTCAGGTTGCACCGTCTCCCGAAGAGCTTTCTCTGGATCTAGTTTTCCAGCTAACCATTTCGGTAAGGTCATTTGGAGCGCGCACCAGAGAGTTGTACGTGCTTTACGTGTCGCTACACTCATCTCTTTAATGGCCAGAGCAAGAGCAAACACATCTGCAGGGACGAAACGGCATTTTAATCTTTATTACACAGGTCATCAGCAAGCACTGCTGGGGATTAATTCACCCCTGCAGTGCTAAAACCAGCAAAACTTTTGACCCTTTTTAGTGCCTGATTTTGTGTCTGTCTCTTTATAAGGCTGTGAAAGTTGAATTCAAGAAAGTAGTAATTTTTAGGCCCTCATACAAAGAGGCATGTATATGGAATTTAAGTACTTATTTTGTTAAAGCTTCTACTTAACTGTCACCTATTCTCAGGAGCACCCAAGGCCTTATGGTCACCTCTGGGTTTGAAAGCATTCCCTGTACACACATACTAAAGGCATCTCGCCCCTTCCTGTACAAGCTCACTGCTGAACGTTCGCAGCAACCCCTCCACACCCATGAAGTGGATCCTTTGCCCATCTTGCCTAAGAAATCAGTAAGACAGGTGAAGGAATAGCGCATCCTTGCCATTTTATTACATCATACAGATCATGTTCTGCAAACATGTCAAACCCCACCACTTTATTTTAAAGAGTAAGGTGGTGCAGTGGTCCATTTATTCAACAGCAGTTACTTAATACATAGATAATGCTTTGATTTTAATTCCAGCCTGCGTGTGAAGAAAAAAATTCAATACCCTCTTCTGGGCACTGGAGTTTTCAGCCAGAACTTGCACATTGTTCTGGGGCAGGGGCACAGCCACTCCTCCTGGAGCTGGTTCACTCCACTGAACACTGGGCTGCGCCGAAAGCATGTATGTGCTTGCCTCCCTGGTCAAACACCTCCACAGGGTTTGGAAGCAGTGGAAGACTTTTAAGTCAAGGTCTGCTCTTCCAAGGACTCGTGCTCAGTAAGCGTGACTGCAGTTACTTTTCACTGCAAAAAGTTGGCACCTACCTTCACCAATATCCCTGGATTCACTGTTCCAGGTGAAGGCCCGCCTGTCTGACAGGACTGGGGGTGCCTCAGAAAAGGACAGAATGTAAAGGCCTAACCTTATCTCCTCACCTTCCCCTTTCACCAGCTCGTCTGGCTCTCACTCTCCAGACTGGCTCCTGTGAAACCCATTCTGAGACATCCCTCCCTCCTTCTGCACAGCCACCACTGATTCCTCTACAGCCACCACTGCTAAAGCAGCCGGGAGGAGTGGTACAGAAAACGGATTTAGGTAAGTGAAGAATCACCATGAAAATCCACTTGTCCAATACAAGTGTCAGCCATCCAAAGAATTTTAGGAGGTAGTGTTTGGAAGGATAATTCCAGAGAAATAAAGGACAGGATAGAGAGTGGGAGGATATGATTATCAGGTCTTTTATTTTCAAAATTCCAATTTCCACACCGAGCTCTGTGGAATCGAGAAGAGACAGCAGGAACGGTGTC